ATATGTATAACTGATTCACTTTGTTATAAAGCAGAAACTAACACACCATTGTAAAGCAATTACACTCCAATAAAGCTGTTAAAAAAATAATAATAATAGGAAAAAAAGTGGCTATGAGTTACTACTTTTAAAGCCAGGTCATGGGTACGTGGAGATTCGTTGTACTCGTCTCTCTATTTTTGTGTATGTTGTAAAATGTCATGATACAAAGTCAATAAGATAAGCAGCTGGAGCTTATCTTCTCCGTGATACCTGCCCAGTATTCACTGGAGCAGTCAACACTTCTTTTTAAAGTTATTGCTGTACTTTGAACGTTGCTCTGGCAGGAAAATTACTGTAAGGGGTTTATTTATCCATGTCTCCTGCTAGCTTGTATATTTCAGTGCATCTCCATTTCTAGGTGCCAAGCTCACTGCCTGGCCCTATTAGTGCTCAGTAAATGTTGGATGGATGGAGGTATTTTAAAAATTGTGAATATCAGGCATTTAATAAATGTTTTCTGAATTGCAGTCTGTTTTCAGTTTGTGTTTGTCTTCTTTCTCAACTGGGTCGGTGTTGGAGCCAAAAATGATATATATGACAGAAAGAGTTCCAATCAAATACATAGGCATTTGATAAGCACTTACTGATCAATTACTTGGAATGCTGGTCTATTCTTCAAATGTCAGAGGTTCCAAAACAAAACAAAGAGCTCAAATAACAGAATCACCCTCAGGTAGCCAGTTTTTCCAGAATGGGAGTGTTGCCTTAGTTGAAGTAACTGGAGGTGAATGGGGATTAGTCAGGCAGGCTCTTCCTGGTAGAGGTAACCTTCTCTGGTGTTTTGACAGAAGGAAGGTATGGGAGGACCTGGGCAGAGGGTTGTAGAGAGACCAGCATCAATAAGGGGAAAGGTAGTTGCTGGCTTGAGAGTTTCCCCTGTGCAACAGGCAGCAATTCGGCAGAAGATCTTATAAATGCTCTCCGTTCCACCCCCACTGTTTGCAATATTCCCCACCAACCACCTGCCTGAATCATTCATATTCATCCTTCAAAATCCAGCTCAGTGACCTTCAGAGAACCTCCAACCAGTTTCTCAGGGCAGAGACCCCATGCTGTGCCATGGTCATGCCTTCTGTGCTGCATTTAGCTCACTGCACTGTAATTAACTGGTTTATACACGAGCTCCTCCAGGGTAGTAGCTGTGTTGCATTTACGTATTCCAAGAGACTTGCACAGTGCCTGGTGCTCAGTGGGTTATCCCTGAATGCTTCCTGTAATCTGTTAGAGGTGGCAAATTGGGTGAATGAGCCCAGGAGGCAGGATATAGCACAGTAGGGGCAGGTGGGACCACAGGGAGCTGAAGAACACAGCCCCTGTGTCAGGTGGGAGGCTTGCCCTCACTTCCAGCTGATTGCTCCAGGTGATGAGGGCCCACGGGTGCCAAATCCAGCGATTTTTCAAGAGATCTGAAAACTCAGATTCACATGTCCAGTGTCCCAGTTTTTCAGCATTAGCCACGAATTCCTCTGAGAAAAAAAGATACAGCATGTGTCTGCAGACGGGATCTGGCTTCCATTCATTTCCAGAGGCAATCAGAAGACCATCTTGGTTTACTGAGAAGGGAGTTAACAATCGAAAGAATGCTAGATTCGCAATAAAAATTGTTGAGTTGAACTCAAGTGCCCCAAAAAACCTCATCTTGGTTCTGTAGGGAAGGAAGAGGGCCCAAGTGTGGGAGGAAGGATTTGTGGGGCAGCTGCTACCAGAGCCACTCCTGGTTAGACCATGGACTGTTTCACAGCCTTTCTTGATATTGGTCAAACCGAGCCACCCTTGATATTGTTTATGGCCATCAGAGTGGTGTATTTAGTGTTATTGTTTCCCTACATTCCATAGATAACAGACATGAGCTGTTGTGAAATGTGTAATCTCAGAGATTCGATACAGTCCCAGCAAGTTTCAGTCTCTGGTGGCTATAACTATAGCCTCTTCAGAGGCTAAACAACCCCAGAGAAAGGATTCTTTTTTTCCTCTGAAGACTAAAAAGGATGTTTTCACAAGATACTAACAGTAGTCATTCATTCAATAAATATTTATTAAGCACCTGCTAATATGATACCTGTTGCAGAGGCACTGATGGTGAAAACAGACATAGTTACCTCCATGGTATCATTGTAGGGACTTTTTATTCTCTGTGCTTTTCTGAACATGTATCATTTTACAGTCAGGAAAAAAACAAGTTTCATTTGCAAAAAGAAAATACTTTGCTTCAAAAAATGAACCCTCAAAAGAAAGAAGAATCACCTTGGAGTTTGGGGTTTTATTTTTAAATAAATGTTAGAAAGAGGAATAAGAGTCCAGGAGAAGATAATGCAAAGAAAAAAATTAGTAGTTTGGAAGCGCTTTGGAAAATACTGCCTTCAGTGGATTCATTTTATTGAAGTGAAAACTGAAGCAAGATGATGAAGGACTCAGTCAAGGTCATACCTGTGACCTAGTTGGGCAGGACAGACAGGCCCAGAGCTTCTGCCTTCCAGCCCTGTAAGCTTTTCCATTACACCAAGTTGACTCTTCATAAACATTAATTTGGTTGAGGCAGTCTCTTCTGATTCATTTTAAGGCAGTCTTCAAATATTTTATTAGGTAAATCTGTCATTTGTCCAAAGCTATATATAGCTCCTTTCTTTCCGAGAATCTGAGCTCTTCCAAATTGCTGAGTCAGAGAACATCTCAGTATTTATAACTCTTGAGAGTTGATTCTGTTTATTTACACAATATTCAGAGAAGTGTCTCAGAAACCAGTGAACTAATTAAGCTGTAATGAAGATAGTTTATGTTTCTGGGCAAATCCATGCTGTATTCCCAGCACCTGGCACAGGGCCTGACACACAGTAGGTACTCAATAAATATTTGCTGAATGAATAAATGTTAATAAGTAGGGAGAACTGGGATTTTTCTATCCACAAGGGATTACTTCACTTGCTGTTTTCCACAGTACCCCCATGAACTCCAAGCTGGTCTATGCAACAGCAGGCTAACATCTCTGGTTGAAAATAAACTCCTGATTTTACCCCTTAAACCTAATCATTCCCCAAATAAAGTGGTAGCATCATTCGTTTAACCAAGGACAGAGATTTAGGGACATTCTTGCTCTTTTTTCTCATGCCCTTCATCCAATTCACTAGCAAACCCTGCAGCTTCTCCTGCAGACTGTGTCCTGAGTCCAGCCTCATCTCCTGACCCCCATCAGTACCACCTGAGTCCAGCCACCAGTCAGCTCCCCCTGGACTCCTTCAATAGCCTCCTAGGCTGTGCTCCCTGTTCCTCTTGCCCGCTTATGAGTTCTTTCTCGCTGTAAGTTAATCAGATCCAGTTGCTTCCCAAAACAAAACCCTCCAATAGCTTCCAATCAAACTGAGGGAAAAAAAGTCCAAAGTAGAAAGCCCTGAGAGATGTGGGCCTCGTACTTCCTCTGTGATGTCATTTCCTACCACTCTCCTCTCCCTCGATGTGCACTAACCAAACTGGCCTTCTTGCTGTTCCTTGGACAGGCCTCACAGATGCCCACCCCAGGGCCTTTGCACTGGCTGATTTCTAAGCCTGGAAATGTCTTTCCTCATATTCTCAGACTTTGATCTTTCCTTCTGCATACATCAGAGCTCAAATGTCAGCTCCTCAGAGAGGCCTTCACTTATCTTCCTGTATAATGAATGCTTCCCTCAACCTCCTTCATTTTTCCTCACTGCATTCAGTGAGTACCTAAAATAATATATGTTTATTTGTGTATCGTGTGTCTCCTCTGATTATAAGTTTCATGAGGCCTGGCAGGAACTTCCTAGTTTATTTATCACTGTATCGCCAGCCTCTAAAACAATGCATGGAATATAATTGATACACAATAAATATAGACTTACTGAAAGAAAGAAACAGACTGAAGGAAGGGAGGAAGGGAGAAAATCTTCCTGGATCTTTTCATCCCTTGCTGCCTAACCTGACCTTGCCAATGTGGAGAAAGGTGAATTATCAAGAGCGATTCAAAGAACATGAAACTTCCAAGCCTCAGAAGGTCACGATATAACAGCTATGGGCAGAGGTCGCCCCAGTTACTTCTTTCAAACCAAGTCCTGTGCAAGAACCTTTATTTCCTCCTTCGAGCCACACCATTTTCCACTTTGTACTCTTTAAATTTAGTATGTTGTTTATATGCCCAAAAGCATGCAAAAGATACTCAATTTCTGTCCTCCCTCTAGAATTCTAGCCAATACGCTGCTGATTTATTCTGCAGCATTTATATCATGTAAGTAATTTGCCTGCTCCTTAGACCTGTTTTAACGTGAAGTCATTTGAATTCCTTTAAGTCATTGGATTTCCTCACTACCTCCCCACGGGGTCTCTTTCTCCTATTCTTGGAGGCTCTGGGTTAATTACTCCGCTTCTTCAGTTTCTCCCTCTGTAAAACTAGCATAATCGTAGTGACTTCCCAGAGCGGTTGTGAGGATTAAATGAGATGATACTAGTGAAGCACTGACAAGAAGGTCTGGCACATAATAGGTGCTCAGCAAGTGCTAAGTGTTCTTATGTTTATGATCGCTATCATCACCACAGTCGTCCTCCTGGTTTTTAATGGCATTTTTCCCAGCTCACGAATTATTAGCTTCTGGTTGACTTTCAAGTCAAAAATCTAGTCTCTTCACCTCTACAGTCCGGGCTTCACCAGCTACCTCCTCTCAGGTCTGGCTTGACAACTTCACCTCTCACTTCTCCCTGATGTAAACGCTGGACTGTAGTGAACTTTAATCTATTTTCTGACTCCATCTGCCATTTTCCCTTCCTATTCCAGCTCTTTAAACATCGCTATTCTACTGCTTTTTATTTCATGCTCCATGTATTTAATTTGATTTTTTAACATTTAAATTCATTCTTATATTTTCAGAAATATGTTAGACATCTTTGCCTAGCAAGGTTTGAAACTAATTAACACTTTAATATATTTATTATCTTGGAAAAACATCTTGATTGAGGTATAACATAAAGTGTACGGCTCAGTGAATTGTTCCATGTGGATACACCTGTGAACTCACCATCCGGGTCAAGATAAAGAACATTCCCAGTAACCCAGAAGGTTCCCTCAGTGTTTCCAGTTAGTACCTCCCACAGGAAACCACTGTTCTGACTTCTATCACTATTGATTGGTTTTTCCTGTTCTTGAACCTTTGCATTTGGCATATTTCACGCCATACAGCGTCTTTGAAATTCTTCCATTTGTTACTTTGAAATTCTTCCATTTGTTACTTGTAGCAATAGTTGGTTCTTTATTACTGTGACTCTACCACTGCGTGAATATACCACCATTTATGTATCTGTTTCCCTGTTGGCAGATACTTGGACTGTTTCCAGTTTGGGGCTATTACAATAAAGCTGTTATGAACATTCTCAAACAAGTCTTTGTTTGGGTGGACACATGCACTTTTTTCCCTTGTGGATGTGCCCGAGTTCAGTTGCTGGGTCACAGAAAAGGCATATGTTCAGCTCCAGCAGACGCTGCCAGTTTTCCAAAGTGGCTGTACCAGACTACACTCCCGCCAGTCGTCTATGAGAGTTCCAGTTGCTCCACATCCCTCAATAATCGGTGGTGTCTTTGTTTTAATTACACCCATTCTGGTGAGTGTGTAGTGGTATCTTGTTGTTTTAATTTGTATTTCCATAACGAATAACAATGTTGAGCACCTTTTTATATGCTTTTTGATCACTTGTATCTTTTTTTAAGTGCTTGTTTAACCTTTGTTTCATTTTTTAAAATTGGGTTTTCAAATCGATTTTTTTAGGAGTTCTTCTATTATGTATATGGAACACAAATTTCTTCTCCCAACCTGTGGCTTCTGGAGGATCTTACAGAAAACCCCAAACGCACTTTTTGGCCAACCGAATACTTTCCCCGTAGAACATCGGCGTAGATTACATTCCCTGTGTGCCATGATCCTGTCTTTCTCATCCTTCACTGGTCCCCCAAGTCCCTGTGCCTGACTCATGAGGTGTCGCACCATCTGGCCCACTCCTCCCTCCCCACCCTCACCTTCTAGACCCACACCGCCCTCCATCCCAGACCCTGTGCACAGACCCAGCTCTTCATCCTGCCACCTCTTCCCTCCTGCCTGGACTCCTTCTCCCATGACTTTGGTGCCTGAAAAACTGCTCGCCGCTCCAGCACCTCCTCTGTGAAGCCTCTCCTGGCTTCTTTCTGTCTCTTTGTGCCTTGAAATCTGCCTCTGGAACCAGACTGCTGGGTTCAAAGCCTCCTTCTGTCCCTTTCCAGCTCTGTGGACCTGAGGTTTAAATGGCCTAAACCTCAGATTCCTCACTGGGAAAAAGTGTGGTTCCTGCTATCTATGGTTTTGTGCAAATAAATGAGATGATCCAGTACAACTGTTTTGCACAGTGTCTGGCACATAGTAAGTGCTCTGTAAATGATTTTAAAAAAATGTCAAGGGGCTTCCCTGCTGGCGCAGTGGTTGATAGTCCGCCTGCCGATGCAGGGGACGCGGGTTCGTGCCCCGGTCTGGGAAGATCCTACATGCTGCGGAGCGGCTGGGCCCGTGAGCCATGGCCGCTGAGCCTGCGCGTCCAGAGCCTGTGCTCCACAGCGGGAGAGGCCACAGCGGTGAGAGGCCTGCGTACCGCAAAAAAAAAAAAAAAAAAAAAGTCAAAAATACTCATACCCATCACACTAATGACATTTATCTGTTAACATATTGGTCTTTTCACTAGACTGGGTGTTTCTTGAAATCAGAAGTCATTACCTTAACTTTTGGAGTTTGTGGAGTTCTTAGTGCAGTTTGCTGTGCAGGGAGCTTTACGTCCATTACCCCAACAGATGTTTACAACAACCTGCAAGGTAAGTATTAGGATCTCCATGCCATGGGTTACAAAACTGAGGCTCCAGCCCACATCCCTCAGCTGATTCATAGAGGAGCCAGGATTTTGACTCCCTGATTCACTGCAAAGTTTTTAAGCCATTCATTGGACATTCTTGCCTCTCCATGTGTCCCCAGCACCCACACAATGAGCTTGGTAAATATCTGATGAGTAGAATTGAGTCTAATAAACCCCAACGTACCCAAGCTTGTCAGAAAAGAACATGGGTTTATCTGTGCTGCTGAAGTTTTGAAGCTGATCCTCAAAGGCCAAGCAATTAGAGACTGAGATCCTTCTGGCAAAACAGACAGCACCTAGAGCAGGTGCCTGCTTTCAACTCTTCCCTCTCAGGAAACAGTGGCTTCAACATCAGTAAGTTGAAGGTGTGCTCTTTAATTGACACAATGCTACTTTTCCAGAGGAACAGGTTGTCGCTTTTCACAAAGTGTGTCCTATTTAATGAAACGTTGTCTGCTATCTTAGTTACCTACCATCTCACCTATTGCTATATTACAGTCCCAAGCTTTTAAAATGCTGTACCAAGAGTCTTGGGAAGATCCTTTTCAGGCAGATTCTGGAAGCTTGGCCTCTCCAGCTCAATTGTAAATGCCTTGAGAGCAGGAATCACCTCATATCCATCTTTATCTCCCATGGCACCTGACTCAGTGAGGCAGGAATTCAATAAGTATTTGCCAAATCCATTACTGCCTGCTTATTTCATGCTGGGGACTGGGCTAAGCCTTGGGAAGGAGAAAGGAGGAATCACATTCAGATCTTACCCTCCAGGAGCTTCTAGGCCAACCCAGGAGATACGAGTCACACGTAAACAAAAAGCATCTGATATGGGAAACGGTGTTTGTAATGGGGATTATAGCAAAGAGCTGCACTGGGGTACCGCCCTCCCCCCACCCCAACACACACCCAAAGCACCATTCGTACCTAAAGATTGCTGGGAAGTTCTTTGCTATTAAAATAAGCATGGACATACTGTGGAGTACACTCTAACAGGTATATGCACTTACGGTAAAACGCAGATTTCAAGGTGCTGTATTTGGTAGACCTGTGCCCCCACCTTTCTTTAGCTCCCCTCTCCTCTGCCTCTAGGAATGTTTTGGTGGGTGTGATGCTGAACACTGCTATTGGCATCAGACAAAACCGGGTTTTCATTCAGGCTGTGCTCCATCACTTTCTAGCTGTGTGATTTTGAGCAAATGGTCTGAGCTCTCTGAATCTCAGAGTATTCATGATTTTTATGAGGGTTAGTGTTTCATGTAAAGCTTTTGTCACATACACAGTAGCTTTTATGCCTGTTGTGAGAAAACAAGTGTGGGACGGATGGATGGATGGATGGAGCAGGGAACAGGCCAGCCTTGCCACAGCAAAAAAGGCACATTCCATCTGACATGAACACTTTGCAATTCTATAGCATTTTATACACTTGAAGCATTTTCATAATCACACAAAAATCAAAGAAAGTAGAGCCATCCCAATTCTACCTATGAGAAAAACTGAAGCCTCAAGAAATGCCCAGACGGACTTCCCTGGTGGCGCAGTGGTTAAGAATCTGCCTGCCAATGTAGGGGACACGGGTTCAATCCCTGGTCTGGGAAGATCCCACCTGCCATGGAGCAACTAAGCCTGTGCGCCACAACTACTGAGCCTGTGCTCTAGAACCCATGCGCCACAACTACTGAACCCTCGTGCCACAACTACCGAAGCCTGCGTGCCTAGAGCCTGTGCTCCCCAACAAGAGAAGCCACTGCAATAAGCCCACGCACTGCAACGAAGAGTAGCCCCTGCTCACTGCAACTAGAGAAAGCCCATGCGCAGCAACGAAGACCCAATGCAGGCAAAAATAAAGAGTCTTGCAAAGACTGAGATCGGTCATCTTGAGATTTGAGCCACTGCCTGGTTCAGCGTCTTTAACACAACAGCTTGGGGACTTGTTAGGCGATAGAGGATGGGGAGAAGGGGGCCTGCCTTTCAAACTGCTGCCTTTCCTTTCTGAGCTGTGTACGGCCTGTTAATTTGACCTACATGTTGTGAGACACAGAGTCACAGAATCCTCACGGCTGGAGTAGTGCAAAAGTCCTTCACTTTCCCTGTTGAGAAGCTGATACAAGCGATGGACTCTACTCTCCTTAAGAACATACAGACACACAAAAACTCACATACAGTTTCAGGAAGCCCCGGGTGCCCTGAAGCCCCTCCACCATGCCCCCTAAGGCACTCAAGCCCCCTCTACAGAGACCATCCTGAGCCTGACCAACTGCAGAAACCACAAGCTCATTTCCTCCAGCAGACCAATAGAAACAGTATAACCAACATAACAAAGCCCTGCAACTTCAGCCAGGGACAACTCCCCCACCCAGCTCTGCAATCATCCGAATTCTAAGAAGTCTATCCTTCAGTAAATGTCCAAAGTCAAACCATCCATTTCCCTCCCAGACTTTCGCAAGTCTTGGTGGAAATAATTGAGGTTATCTGTGTTTTAGAAATTAAAATTGCCAGTGTGTTAATAGAACGGGGAGACCCGTGAACAGGATTAATACGAGGTTACCTAGAGTCGATTGGCTTCACCACAGGCAACGCCTTCATTGTCATGAAAGCCAAGATTGAGCACAAAAGATAAAGAACCAGGTCAGCAGCCGAGGGAAATTTGGTGAGGCATTCAGTTCATGTGTTCATTCAGCACTCATGTATCGAGCACTTACTACGTGCCAGGCACTGTTCTAGACCCCCAGGATACATCTGAGAGTAATACAGAAAAATCCTCACACTGAATGTAATCTTTGAGCTTACATTCTAGTGGGGGAGATGGACAAATGCCAATAAACATAATAAATAAGTCAATTTTATAGTATGCTGGAAGGCAAAAAGTGCTATGGGGGAAAAAGGAATTAAGCTGGATAAAGGGATCAGGAGTGTGTGTTCAATGGAGGAAGCAAGTTGTAGGGTTCAACTAGGTCAGGAAACCTGCATTGAAATAACATTTGAGGAAGACTTGAAGGCGAGGAGACCACATACACATCTTGAAGCCAAGATGATGCCAACGACAATACTCAATGGCTTACATTCACATATTCACTCAACCAATATATACTGAGTGCATTAAGAGCTAGGTGCTTGTAGTCGGCTGAATAATGGTCCCCAAAGATATCCAGGTCCTAACCCCTGGAACCTGTGTATGTCACCTATATGGCAAAAGGGACTTTGCAGATGTCACAAAGTTAAGGATTTTGAAATAGGGAGATTATCCTGGATCATCCAGTGGGCCCTAAATGTAGTCATGAGGGTCCTCATTGCAAGAGGGAGATTTGACTTCATAGAAGGAAAAAAAGTGATGTAACAAACGTATGGATACCAAGGGGGGAAAGTGGCGGGGAGGGGGGCGTGTGTGATGAATTGGGAGATTGGGATTGACATATATACACTAATATGTATAAAATGGATAACTAATAATAACCTGCTGTATAAAAAAATAAATAAAATTTAAAAATTAAAAAAAAAAAAGTGATGTGACGATGAAAGCAGGGAAGAAAAGGTGAAGTGAGGCGGGACCATAAGCAAAGGAATGAGGGAGCAGGAAAAGGCAAGGAAACCGACTCTCGCCTGGAGACTCCAGAAGGAAGCTGCCCTTCTGACACCTTGATCTTATTCCCATAAGACTCATTGTAGACTTCTGACCCCAGAACTGTAAGAATAAATCTGTGTTGTTTTATGCCACCAGTTTGTGGTAATTTGTTACAGCAGCCATAGGAACCCAATACAGCGCTATTTTAGACAGGGATATAGTGAGAAACAAAACTGATGAAAATCCCTGCCATGTGGATGTCCCACCCTGGACCACTCATTCTGTGCCTGGCACTGGCCTGTGCCTTTGATACATAGCATCCTTTTAATGATCACATCCGTCCTAGGGGATGGCTGCTATTTGAACTGAGACCATGTAACTCGGAGACCCTGTTCTCTGACCATTGGAGGGTCTTCTGGTCATGCCCCATTAGACTATGGCTATTTTGGGTGTGCCAGTGATCTGCTTCTGTCATCTCTGATGCCACTGGTCGCTCTGGGTGCCTGGGACACTGTCCCCATCCTCTCTCACCACACCAGGAGGAAGGCCCTTCCGAAAGAGAGAAGGAACAGCCTTCGCTTGGGGGTTTACAAGTAGCATCCTCTGCATGAACTGCCCCCATAATTTTCGCTAACTCAGATGGTTAGAGGCAACTAAGAGGCAGACACTTCTTCTAAGGGCTACAAGAACATTATTGAATCCTCACTGTAGCCCTGCGAGGTTCTAATGTTATCCCCATTTCACAGGTCAGGAACCAGAGGCACAGAGAATTTAAATAACTTATCAAAGGTCTTATGACTAGTGAGGGTTGGGAGCCAAGATTCAACCTCTTAACTGTTTTTAAGGCCCATAAATGAAATAGCTAAAATTTATTGAAAACTGCTATGTGTCAGGCAATCTTCATTTAAATTTCATGACTCTCTGAATGAGGGACATATACTATCTCTATTTTATGGATGATGAAACTGAGGCATCATCAGGTTTCGAGAGGATCAAAACCCAGGCAGTGAGCCTGGAGTCCCTGTTCCTTTAATTAACTACCCACCTTGTCCCAGGCACTAAACGAAGCCCCGAGGGTGAAGAAGTGAATAAGATTAAGACAGTAAAAGTAGTGGTTAAGAAGTTAGACATGTGGTCTCAGGAACCACCTGTGTGATCTCGGGAAAGTTACTTAACCGTGCTGAGACTCAGTTTTCTCATCCCTGAAATGAGAATGGTACCAGCACCGACCTCAGGGCTGTTGCGAGGATTACGTGAGGACCACACTTACAGTGAGGTGTCAACACACGTCAGCTGATGTTATCCTGTTGTTACTATTATAATAAGCTCCGTTCCTGCCCTTAACCACAGAAGATGCACAAACAATGTAGACATCACTGTTCTTTCCACATTGATTCTGATGGTAATTTAAGGAACCCTGAACTAGGCTAAGACCTCCTGCCTGCCCAACCCAAAGGGCAGACTGAAGACAAAATCAGGGAACCCATGCCTTTCACTGGTCCCAACCTCCTGGAATGGATTAGCATCTCTAGGAACACCAGTCACCCTTGGCCCTCCTGGAACACAGTAGATGTACTTAAGGAAAGAAAAAACTGGAAAATCCTACCAGCGGATGTGACTCTGAATTGAACATGCATACACTGGACTTACCTGGAACTTCGCCAGGACCCAGTGATGAAGATGGAGGAAGATACTAAATCTCCACTGACAGAGGCTCCATCTTGGTTTCCTTGTCTCTGAACCAAGGCCTTGCTGGAACCAGCAGAGAGCTGCCCTACAGTTTCTTTTCACTGGTTGAAGGAACCATCTTCAAAGGAATGGTGGAGGAAAAGGAGATACATTTTGTTTCCTGTGTGGAAGGAAGATTTATTAACCCTAAATGGTGACTTTTATGTTGGGACAATTGGATATCCATATGCAAAAAAATGAAGTAGGACCCCTACCTCACACTGTACACAAAAATTAACTCAAAATGGATCACAGACCTAAATGTAAGAGCTAAAACTATAACATTCATAGGAGTACATCTTTGGGACCATAGATTAAGTTATGGTTTCTTAGATATGACACCAAAAGCAGAAGAGATAAAAGAAAAATTAGATTAAATTGGACTTCATCAAAATTTTAAAACTTTTGTGTTTCAAAAGCACCATCAAGGCTTCCGTGGTGGCGCAGTGGTTGAGAGTCTGCCTGCCGATGCAGGGGACACGGGTTCGTGCACCTGTCCGGGAAGATCCCACATGCCGCAGAGCGGCTGGGACCGTGAGCCATGGCCGCTGAGCCTGCGCGTCCGGAGCCTGTGCTCCGCAGCGGGAGAGGCCACAACGGTGAGAGGACCGTAAACAAAAAAAAAAAAAAAAAAAAAAAAAAAGCACCATCAAGAAAGTGAAAAGACCACCCACAGAATGGGAGAAAATATTGCAAAGCATACACGAGTAGATACTTCCCCAAAGAAGATACACAAATGGCCAATAAGCACATGGAAATATGTTCAGCATCATTAGTTATTAGGAAAATGCCAGTGAAAACTACAATGAGACACCACTTCATTTTATCTAGGATGACTGAAATAAAAACAGCAGACAATAACAAATTAGGGAGGATGTGGACATACTGAAACTCTTAAATGCTGCTGGTGAAACTGTAAAACGGTGCAGCCACTTTGGAAAACAGTTTGGCAGCTCCTCAAAATGTTAAACATATTTACACCATGACCCAGCAATTTCACTCGTGGGAATATATTCAAGAGAAATGAAGACATGCGTCCACATTAAACACTTGAACATGCGTGTTACTCATGACAGCTCAAAAGAAGAAACAACCCAGATGTCTCTCAACTGATGAGTGGATAAACAAAATGTGGTACGTTCATACGATGGAATGTTATTTAGCCACAAAAGGAATGAAGTACTGATTCATACAACAACATAGATGAACCTTGAAAATATTAGGCTAAGTGAAAGAAGCCAATCACAAAAAACCCTACATATTGCATGATTCAATTGATATGAAGTGTCCAGACTAGGCAAAGTCATAGAGATAGAAAGTAGATTTATGTTGGCCGAGAACCGGGGGGAGGGGATGCACAATGAGGGGGACTGCTCATGGGTACAGGGTTTCTTTTGGGGATGATGAAGATGTTCTAAAAACAGGCAGTGGTGATATAGTTACACAATAGTCAGTATACTAAAAATCACCGGACTGAATACTCTAAAAGAGTGAATTTTATGGTATAGGAATTAGATCTCAAAAAAGCTATTATTTAAAAAATTACTGGGAATTCCCTGGCGACCCAGTGGTTAGGACTCCATGCTCTCACTGCCGAGGGCCTGGGTTTGATCCCTGGTTGGGGAACTAAGACCCCACAAGCCACGCGACGTGGCCAAAACAAAAAAAATTACTGTCGGTCCTTGAAGAAACTATTGGAGACTTCTCTTTAGTTAATGCCAATTCCACTTCTTACCTGGGTACAGATAAACTGGGGTTCTGGCTGAAACTTGTCTTTTCTGCCATCTTCTACGCCACAATTCTACGCCCACAGAAGTTCTTGGTAAACTTCTACCTTTAGTTCACCAAGCTCTCTCCTGATTCCATGCCCCTTTCTTTATCTGCATTGCCCATTTCACCTGGTTACCTGCTACCATGCTTCACATATCAGCCATCCCTGGCTCCTGAGACAGTATTGGGGGTCCCCGGGGGTTCCCTTTTTACTGCCAGTCCATTGAATTGTGTTGGTTTGTTCCTTGGTGCTGTGTCCTTCACTATGCTATACGCTCCCTGAGGACAGTGGAGGTACTCGTTCTGTTGACCCTTACATGCCAACATAATCTTGGTCATCACTGAATGAATGAGTGAGTGAGCGAATATATGCTTGAAAAGAACAAGTATCTGAATGGAGTGGAAAGATACAGAGGATAAGAAGGAATAGAGGAAAGGAAGAAGGGAGAATTTGGATTAAACTTACATTCTCATGTACCTACTTTTTTTCCCTATTGCCTGAGAAATGTGGATTTCTCAGCCCTATAGCCACATTGACCATTTGAGCCTCTCAGATTCTAGAATGGCTTCTCAGTTTCCTATGAATCAAACCAAAACCTTTGGCCTTCCAAAGAACACCCGAACCTTGTTTTTCCACTCTTTGGCTCAGAGATCCAAAGTTGGGAATCTAGCTAAAGAAAATAACAATAACAAGCACCTGAATACAGAGAGGGATGCGGCGTGGACCCTAAAAATAGACACACATTGTATATAATACAATCTGGCATTGTTTATAATAGTCAAAACCTAAATGTCCACCAGCAGGCGGGTGTACATCCTGCCATGTCCCAAAGATGGAATAATATGCACCCATTAGAAGAATTTCATGATCTGGGAAAATCATTGTATTGTATAGTAAGTGAAAAAAGCAGGCTATAAACTGGTGGGTTACAAACCTATCACCAATATGTAAACTGTGCATAGAAAAAAATTTTAAATTCGGGAAAAACCACACCAGAATGATTTCAGGGGTTTTCTTTCGGTAGTGGGACCCTGGGTGCCTTTCTCGTTTCTTTTTTTAACATAACGAGGTGCTCTACTGTGAACATATATGACTTTTATAATCAGAGAAAACAACACCCCCTAATTCTCTCACTCTTTCCACTGCTCTTTCATGGGAAATTCACTCAACTCCTGCTTTGTTCAGTCAACCCACATCCGCCTTCAGATCCTCATCCCGAGCTTCACCCTCAGAATCTGGGCAGGCGCTCCCTCCAGGAGGCCTTTCCTGGTCGCCAGGAGGAAGAAAGGCTGGCTCATCCCCACCTGTCCCAACACAGGGCTCCCACATCTCTCCCTGCTCACCTTGTCCAAGAAAACTCCAGCCTCTCTGCTGGTGCTTGGCCTCGAGAGACCGCTTCCTGCTGCAGCCCGGCAGCCAGGGCAGTGGCCCTGCGTCTGCACCTGGTCGCTGAGTCCAGACTCCTGGAAGGAAGCTGAAGAGCAGAGGCCATTGGTCTCACTGTCGTTGGATGATGAGGAAGGCGGTGATGACTTTTCTGTCTGCATGTCCTGATTTACCATGGGAAAGACTTCCCCCGGCCATTTAAAAACCATCCAAACTGTCTTTAAACAGCTGAAGAAGTGATCAAAGGTGTTTTCACCTAATCTGGACAAGCAACCTTCTCAATACTTAGCCCACTGCTCGGTAGCTTTGGGAGGAAACGAGTACAAACCAGTAATGCGGATGGAGCTCGAATGCACTTGGATTTTTTGTGAGTTGATTTGTCCACGTATACATCCAGCTTATTCCTGAGATGGAAACAAATTAGAGAAACCCTTGAAGGAAAAATTAGTGGGTCAAACATCTGAGGGCTTACCACATACCTGACACATCTTAGAGCGCTTGTGAAAAACTGTGGCTTTATCAAAGGAATAAACAAATCCGGGGTGATATTTCCTGCAGAACTTCCTGGACATGCACTACACCCACAGGGAAGGTTCTGAGGATAAGACGGATGGTCTCGGCTTCAAGAAAGGCGCATGCGTCTTGGCTCCTGTGGCCTTTTGAGCTAATTACCCTGGCCTGTGTCTGAAATATGACGGAATTCAGGATCAAGGCAAATTGGACGTCCCGGCATTGACCAAGAAGAAGAAAAGATGTGGTGTGCCAGGCTTCCTCATTGGTCTGGTATTTTACCTGTCTTCCTAAACAAGGAAAACAAACCAGGGACATACTTTTCTTCCCTGCAGAACTGCGTCCTTTTTCATGACTAGGTCTGGGTATTGTTTGGCAATGGGAATTCAGTAGAATAGCGGTGGGGAAGCATTTTTTAAATACCACCCTCTTCTCAAACGTTTGAAGTAAAATAATGAATAGGTGAGTGACTGTCCCATTTGTCAACTCTTTTCCATTCCTGCCACCCAAATGCAGGCCTCCATCACATGTTTCTTAGGCCACCATGGTTGACATTTCTTTCCAATCCATCTTATCAAGGCTGGAAGTACTGAGGTCTCCAGAGGAGAAGAGTAGATGTTCTTCATTCTGCCATCCACGGAGTTTGGGTTTTTGTTTAATGGGATCTATGAGCTGAGCATGAAATGGAAATGCTGGGATGGTAGAGGAGTTTTTGAGGAACCAACAGGGGAAGAAAGAGAGGAGAGATGAGGGACAGCTGGGAGAGGAACGCTTGTTGGGAATTTGGGGGTGATGTTCCATGTGAACTGTCTTCCTTGTCTTCCCAGAAGATCCTCAGTAAAATATCCTGTTATTTTTTTCTTTTTTTAAATATCCATCCCTTTTTGGTACATTATGGAGTTGGATTTCTTTGTTGGCGGAATTCATTCATTCAACAAATAGTTAATTTGTTGGTAGAGCCTGCATCTACCAGGCAGTGTTCTAGAGGGTAAAGTAGTGAATAAAACATACCCAACACAGGACGACTTGGATGAAAACAAACAACAACTTGGATAGCACTTCCCTGGTGGTCCAGTGGTTAAGAATCCGCCTTCCAATGCAGGGGATGGGGGTTCGATCCCTGGCCGGGGAGCTAAGACCCCACATGCCACGGGGCAACTAAGATCACGTGCTCTGGAGCCTGCGCGCCACAACTAGAGAGAAGCCCGGGAGCCGCAACTAAGACCCGACGCAGCCAAATAAACAAAAAGGAAAGCAAACCAACAACGACAACTTGGATGAATCTCCAAGGAATTCTGCTGACGGGACCCCCTTTCCTGTATGGCTCTGGCATGCCTCGCCACCCTGGTTCTCAGCATCAGGCAAGACAGGACTCAATCCTGGATTCCAGCCCCTCCATACCCTCCTGCAGTGGGGGACGCCCACACCAGTCTGCTGTCCCACTGGGTGTACAATGAGGCACCTGGCGGACTATGAACCGTCTAGCTCTGCCCCTCTGTTTTACTGCCTTAGAAGATCTTCAGAGGAAAGAAGCCATGTAAAATTAAAATAAGGTCTGAAAAGGCTTTAAAGTTTTATTATTTTATACTATGCCCTGCCTTGCATGGAATGACCACAAAGTACACGCCTTCTGGGCCACGTAGTCTACTAACAGCACAGGGTTGAGAAAGCTAGAACTCACGATGTGGTCCACGGGGAAGAAAGGAGGGAGGGAAGGGAAAGAAAGCTGGGGAGGGAGGAGCAAAGATAAATATTTCTGTGTCTCTTCTCCAGTGGGTCAGTGGCTGCCCATTCTAGGAGCAATGATTATGTGCCTTAATACAATTGCTGATTCATGGTCACGGTCTTTATACTAAAGGAAAGGGGCTTTTAGAAGTACTAGAGCTAATCAGTAAATATTTGATCAACTTTCCAACAAGGTTCTAATGGCCAAAATGAAATGAAAGAAAAGATACTGATAAAAGCTCTATTTCCGTAACTTTGTCTCAAAGCAACCATGGAAAGAATAAGTGCAAAATAAAATGAAGGGCCCCCCTGCCCCCCACCCAGGGAGGGACCACCCTTGAGCCTGGTGGAGCCGTTCTCCAGGGCCCAGGCCCCCACCCTGTCAGGTCCTTGGGGCCACACGGCGCTCAGCAGCCCTGTCCCGCTCCTCCCGGGAAGGGGCCTGCTTCCCTGCATCCCAGTCGGCACCTGGGATGAACAGCCCGTGGAGATCCAGGTGCATCTCTACATCAACGGAGGCACGAGCCAATTCTGTAAAAGTCTTGGCATCCAGAACCAGCAGAAAAGGCAGCTTCTGGGGATCGGTAGAGGCAATGGCTGATAAGATAATCCCTTTGGGGAAACAAAAAGAGACACTTTGTAAAAGCGCAGCCTTGAACCTGGTCCAGCTGGGGGGATAAGTTTCTCAGCTCTATCTCCCTGTCCTTTGAATGTAAGTTATCTAATCAAAACAGAAGGGAAGTGAATTTGGTATTCTGTGGGAGCAGAAGGGAAAGGCCAGGGAAATTGGAAGGCTTGGCTGAACCAGTCCCCTCACCTTTCTGAGCCTCAGTCTCTTCATCTGTAGAGTGGGGATAATCCTCCCCACCCTCAGAGGGTTGCTGAGAGGATCTTGCACAGTCAGTTATGAAAGCACTTTGTAAATCATTACATGCACTGAAGAATGGCTATTTTCCTACTATTTAGAAACTCCAGTTATAGAGAATCAGCTTTGACGCTGCACTTAGGCTAATATCCGTCACTTGGCTAAACCCGGACCAGTTGCACTCAAATGGCATTTGAATGAGTCCAGTTCATCTCATGCATGTGCAGCTTTCCCCTCTGTAAAATGGGAATATTCTAAACACCCACTCTCAAGGGACAGAGGGCTAAATGAAATAGTGCACATAAACTTCCAGCAAAAATTTGTGATTCTTCCCAAGGCCTCCCGGGTTTCAGAGTGGCTGAGGGCAGCTGAGGTCAGATCAGCTTGAATTCGACCCTCCTCTGTACGCACTGGGCGTGTGACAGACCGTGGGTAAGACCTCACTCTCTGAGCCTCTCCTTTGGTGGAATGAAGACCAGGTTGCTCCCTGCCCACAAGAGATTGTGCAGGACGCACTTGCCCAGCCCAGGGGGAGGCCAGCCTCAGCAGGAGGTGGCACCAACCATCCCCCACCTTGGAGGTGACAGTGACACGGGGTCCCTTACCTGGCGTGCCGTGCAGTGCAGGTCGATAGGAAGACCCAGGTAGAAAACCACTCCCTTCTCACCTGAGGGAAGCAGCTGGCAGGCTCAGCAGGGGGCAGCCTGCCCTTCCCCATAGGCGTGGGCAGCCCCACCCAGGCTTGTAGTACCCTCCTTAGCATCCCTAGGGGGTGGGCAGGGCATTTCTGGGGCAAAGGCAGAGTCAAAAAGGGAAAGGACCATTTGGTCAGGTGGAAACCTGGACAAGAGAGGAGGGCCACAAGCATTTCTAGGTGCTCCACGGAAAACCTACATGCTTAGAGGAGTTACAAATTCAGACCCAGCCATTGCAATGGATTTTAAAACCAAGATTCTATACTCTGGGCAAGGGTAGGGCAGCTCCGTGGAAAGGAAGTGGGCTTTTGTGTCGCAAACAATTTAATCACCCCGGAAGGGAGGTCTGACCTTCTGCTCCTGGGAGATGACCTCTAAGCCTTTGGACTGACGGTCTGATGAGAGTGCCTTTGTTTACCTGGGGCCACTGCATATAACCCATCCTAGCAAAGTGATTTAGGGGAGGCCTGGGCCACAGGTGTCAGCTCAACCTCCAGAGGGGCCGAAGACTGGAGGTCACCATGTCCGCATGACCACGCCCCACACGGGCTCCGACACAGGGCTTGGAGAGCTTCCCTGGTTGGCCACACTCCGTGGACGTCGCTGGGGAAGTTGGCGTGGTCCTACCCCCCACAGGAGAGGACCAGCGGAAACCCCAAGCACAGGACTCTCCTGGATCCCGCCCCACTCGCCTTTTCTCTTTCAATCTGCACCCTTTCGCCGAGATAAACCATAACCATGAGTACAACAGATTTCGGTGTGTTCTGTGAGCTCTTCTCTTGAAACGGAGGGTGGTCTTGGGGATCCCCAAACTTGCAGCTGGTGTCAGAAGTGGGGGTGGGCTGGGGGACTCCCTCATCCCACAGCTTTGGACTCAGACACACCTGGGCTTCAAAGCATGACTCCACAAGCTGCGTGATGGGGGGGTGGTCACTGCCCCCAAACGATGTCTCTGTTTGAGGGGTGATCACAGGTACAGTGCAGCAAGCGGGCTGCCCTTCCTGGAGCCTTACCGTGATCCTCGTCCTCGGCACCCGGTGTGGGCACGAACACTGGCTCCGCCGGCCAGCAGTGCACCTCTCCCCACTTCAAGGATGACTTCGTGAGAATGTCGTATTTTATATCTGCACGTCCAAAGGGGAGAAACATGGGAATGAGTGGTTGGAGAGCATGCTTATTCCCTGCAAACAGGAAGGCATCAAGGCCCCAGAGAGAGGGGAGTGGACTCTGGTGAACGTAGACCCCAAATGGCATCTGCCTCTGGTCAGTGTAACAACAGAAACAAAAGCAGCTTGCTTCCTCCTCCGACTTGAAGCAAAGGTCCTCCTGCCACTGCAGAGCTGACAGTACACACACTGAATTCTTTCAGAAATAAAACCCCTGGATTTATCTGGTACTTGGCACTATATTGCTTTTTTTTTTTTTTTTTTTTTTTTTTTTTTTTTTTTTTTGCGGTACGCAGGCCTCTCACTGTTGTGGCCTCTCCCGCCGTGGAGCACAGGCTCTGGACGCGCAGGCTCAGCGGCCATGGCTCACGGGCCCAGCCGCTCCGCGGCATGTGGGATCTTCCCAGACTGGGACGCGAACCCGTGTCCCCTGCATCAGCAAGCGGACTCCCAACCACTGCGCCACCAGGGAAGCCCATATATTGCAATTTTTATACACATTAGATAAACTATTCAATGCAAACCTTTAAAGTATAATATGATTCCTTTGTTGTTTTAAAAGTGCGAGTCCCTGGCCTTCTCTCAATCTCTAATAGGCCTCTTTCCCCTGAGGGTGTGGGATTAGAGGGGAGTGACTCGGGGTGTGCGTATGTGTGTGTGGGAACCTTAATTTTTTGCTTTGTACATTTCTGCACTGCTTGCATTAAAAAAATTTTTTTCCCATTTTATTACTAAAAACTGAAGCTACTAAGGAAAACTGATGTCTGTACAGCACTCAGCATGGTCCCTGGGAAATAGCAAGTGTTCAAACAAATAGCAGTTTAAAAAACAAAATATGAATCGCTATGCTGTACACCTGAAACTAACACGATATTGTAAATCAACTATACTTCAATTTAAAAATAAGATAATAGCGACTTTCCAGGTGGCGCAGTGGATAAGACTCCGCACCCCCAAGGCAGAGGGCCTGGGTTCGATCCCTGGTCAGGGAACTAGATCCCACATGCATGCTGCAACTAAGAGTTCACATGCCACAACTAAGGAGGCTGTGAGACGCAACTAAGGAGCCCACCTGCCTCAACTAAGACCCAGTGCAACCAAATAAATAAATAAATATTTTAAAAAAATAAGTTAATAAAAAAAAACGTAAATCGTCCTAGTTTCAGCTCTACCCTCTCTGCTTGAGACAGTGAGTTCCTTGAGGGCAGGAACTGGGATCTTCCTGTTCACTTCCTTTTCCTCGGTGCCTACCACATTGTAGCACATAGCTGGTGCTCAATAAACATGCATCCAAAAAAGAAATCAATGGATAAACTCCAGCCACCACATCCTTCTTGAGCGACAGCCCATAAGGTGCAATTCCCTCCCCTGGATGGTCCATCGCTGCTTCCAGTGTATTTTGTCCCAAGCTGATGTCACTTTCTGACTTACCCCCACCCCAAGGGGACCTCGGTTCTGACCTCCCTGAGAACCTGGGAACTCAGCTTTGCAGACAGACACGATGGTTATAGGCTGCCATCTCCCAAGGACTAGTACCTTGGTTGGGATGGGGCTCCACTGGACTTCAGCAGCAAAGACATAACGGTATCGCTTCCCATTGTGAGCGTAATTGATCCGAGGCAGCTCTAAGCCTAGAGAGAAATGACACAGCTGACAAAGCCCCCTTCACCGAGAGCTGGGACCACGTGTCTTTTGTGGCATCCAGGCTGGGCATCCTTTTCACAAAAACGGTTCCCAAGCCAGGATCCCTGAACTTGATTCAGGCCCTAGATTGGATCAAGGGTGATCACAGGGCAGGAGGAAGGAACTTCTGATAACTACCCCAGCTCCATTAGAAGCTCCATTAAGAGCAAGGTAAGATAGACCTGGGTTTCTAAGTGTATAAACATCTTTAATTATCCAAGAGAGAAATCAAAGAAAATTGCATGATTAAAATCAGAGGCTACTGCAATTTTTTAAAGCTCTTTTTAAAAAAGTGTGTGCGTGCACATGTGTGGGTGTGAATAGAAACTTCTGAAGCTGTGGAAGGAGCATCAGTGGGGAATATTTAAATAAATCTGGTGAAATCATATAGTAACATTATACAAAAGTAACATTTACAAAGAATTTTAGTAACATGGGGAAATGTACACATCATAAGATTAAATGTAAAAGGCTGCTTATGGGATTATCTCCACTGTGTTATAAATGAAGAGAAAAAGTTTGGAAGCATTGCTGGGGTGATAACTTCCTCATGGTGGTTTAAGGTTTGTACTGTCCATTCTAAGTTTCTCATTGTGTGAAATTTTCATTATACCTATTACTTTTGTAATCCAAAAAGCCTTAAAAATGTGTCCATGTCCATGCATATATATTTATATATGCTTGTTGTGTCAAATTGAATTTCTAAGTCTGAATATTGAAATGAAAGTCCCTCTTATGAAATATTGCAGCGAGTTGGAGCCAACTGCTGGTGAAAATATAATGTCCAAGAAAAGAAGAAGCAGAGATGGAAACATGTGCCACATAAAAGCCTCCTGAAGAGGACCCAGGGCCTAACTGGTTATCGGGCTCAGTGGGGAGGGAAGTGGGGTGCAGCAGTAAGAAGGGAAGATGTCAGATCCCACAGTCGGGTAATCACGAAATTCCCAAGGTCAAGATGAACATGAGGACGAGGGACCACCCACACACTCAACTCAGAAAAAAGATGCCCATTGTCGGTCCCAGAGTCGGTCTGAGACTCCCTGTGATGCTCCTGGGTCCCTCGAACCTGGTCTGGAGCCCCCCTTTCCTCCACTCTGTAAATGACCAGCTATACGCCCATGGTTAAGTAAAATGTGATTCATGCCTGTGAATTCTGTCCGGCTATTAAAGCCACGCTCTTGAAGAATCTTTGGGATGTGGGGAAATTCCCAGGCTACGTTCATTAAGTGGAAGAAGCCATTTCAGAACATTCTAGATGGTATGGTATGCATTTTGTATAACCGTAAATGCAGAGGTTAAGGGTTTTTCGAGTCAGTGAAGCCTGGGTTCAGATGCTGGCTCTGCTGCCCAACTTCAGGCAAGTAATCGAATTATTCTCAGCTCTGCTGTCCTTGGTTCTAAAGCATGAACAGTACATGGCAGCCCCTGACTCTTAGAGGTGTTCTAATCACGGCTGCTTTTAGCTGGACCCTCACTGCGGGCCAGGCCCTCAGCTAAGCCCCTTACATGCATGGACTCACCTAACGTGATAAGAACAGGATGAGACTGGGGAGGAAAGGACGGGAAGTTGGGGAGCCCCTAGAAGAGGGCCTGGCATGCGCCAAGCAACGCCTACGTGATGGAAAGACTGCATGGATGTTTCCAAACGGCCGTCACAGGTGGAGGGATTACGAAGGATTTGTCTACCGTCATGCTTTTCAGCGCTGCCCAAGGTTGCTACGATAAACAAGAATTCCCTTCCCAGAAATAAAACGACCGTAGTGTTTTACTCCTCCATCTGCCCATGTGAGTGACAGGTGAGCAGAGATGGAAGTTGATGCCTTAAGAATAGGGACGAACATGTCTATATTCACTTCCAAAGACTCTGAGGGGCTGGGGCACCACACAGAACCCATTATGGGATTCATGGGATGCCATGTGTAGACGGGGTTCTTAGTGGGCAAATCTGAAGTCGTCCTAGCAGAGTCCCCAGGACTGTCCTTCCAGATGCCTGGCCCTGGCGTGGGGCAGCGACATGGGGAGCCGGGCTCCCAGCCTAGAGCCCCGCCCGCCGCTCCCCAGCCCTGTCCTGGGCAGGCCTGTTCATTCCACACGGCAGTACTGAGCACACCCTGCTCTAAGCCAGACTTCTGTCACGTGCCGGTGACAGCACTGAGCACACAAACACGGTCCCCACCCCATTGGCTTCTATGCTAGGGCAGTGGTTCTCAATCAGGTTGGAGGCCAGGGACGCTGATCCACATCCTCCAATGCCCAGGGCAGCCCTCCCTGCAAAGAACGACCCGGCCCCGGTATCAGCAGTGCCCACATTGGGACGCCCTGCTCTGGTGGGTGCTTCTCTCTGGGGGCGTTTATGCTCTGGGTGTAGCTCAGGCTTTCTGAGGCCCAATTTTCTCCTCTGGCAAATGGGGCTGATAGCACCGATTCTGCAGGGTGTTCTGAGTGCGCACAGGTAGAAATCTGCACGTGCCATCCCTTTCAGTAAGTCAGCGTTCAATACACAGCAGAATTTGATACAGAGAACAAACTAGTGGCTACCAGTTGAGGGGGGCGATATAGGGGTGGGGGAGAGGGAGGTACGAACTATTGGGTGTAAGGCAGGCTCAAGGATGTATTGTACAACACAGGGAATACAACCAATACTTTGTAATAACTGTAAATGGAAAGTAACCTTTAAAAACTGCATAAAAAATTTAAATTCAAAAAAATAAAATAAACTTTTAAAAAGAAAGCAAAAAAAAAATAAAAACCACGGAAGCATTTGAAAGGCTAGCCGTGAAAGTCCCTGGGTCCAACGACCACCCGAGTACCTCCCTGGGAGGGGTATGAAGATACATGAAAGAGAAGTGTCCCCAGATGCCTTTCCCTGGGCGCCCCAACAGCCTTCCTCTCAGTCCCTCGTCCTCACACATCTCCTCTGCATCAGAAAGAGGTATCATATAAAGAGGACATTCAGCCCCTCCCTAAACACAGGAGAGAGGATGCACTTGACCTTCATAAAGCAACTCCGGCTGGCAATAGACTTGGTCCTCTTCTTCCTTCAGGGCTCTTGCTGTTGTAGATGACAGTTTGATTAAATTGGAGCCCATCTCTGCGTTCTGAAAGAATCGGTTTTCCAGAAAAATTAAAACTTGGTATCCAGAACAAATATTTGTTTTACTGTGCACATGTTAAAAAATGCTTTAGTGTCTGTCACCTTGTTCCGGCCTCACATTAACCACCGGAAGCAGCTATTATACGATTGGTATTTTCAGTTAAAAATGAGAACTGGGGGCTGGAGGTAACTCCCCAAAGAGGGCAAAGCTGGTGGGTGGTAGAAGGGGGGCCCTAGAAACCCTGGATCTTTTCTTCTACTCTGGGGTGCCTGATCCCTCACAGGTGAATTAATGTACTTATAAGTTCTCGCTTTTTAAATACTGGATGATTCACCTGTAAAAGGCTGCATCAGTCATTCAAAAGGTGTTTATAAAGAGTTCATAATAACGTGTGAAATGAGTGAAAAAAGCAGCAGACAGTCTGAGCTCAACCATGTTAAACAAAGAAAAAGAAAAAGAAATTACATTGAAAACAGCCTGGAGAGAAATACCAAATAGTAACAATATAGCATGCGGTGGGATTATGGAGACTTTCATTTCTTTTTCTAGGCTTTTCTAGATTTTCAGTATTTTCTCCTATGAAAATGTACCCCTGTTGAAAAGAAAACAAACATGCAATAAAAATTACTTGGGAGAAAAATATCTATCAAGGACATCTCTTGGTCTCAAGTGACAATCAGACTTTGTTCAGTACTTTACCATCATCGTTGTAACCCAGGAGAGAGACTGAACACAATTAATTAAATATCTATTGAGCATCTACTACTCCCTGTGTCCCCACATACCCTCTACGGGACCTTGAACAACTTATTTGGTATCTCTGAAGTTCAGTTTCCCCATCTGTATGATGAGGTATAGCACAAGCGTCGTATAAATAGTATGTGCGTTTCCGAGTTATCATGCAGGTTAAATAAAATAATCCATGCAGTTGGTTTATAAGAGGGCCTGGTTAGCGGTAAATGCTAGATAAATGTTAACGGCTATTGATAACATAATTGTATTATTATTAGCATTATTTTTACTACTACTACTACTGCCACTACCCCTGGGGGTGGGTTCAGGTTAGCTGCTGGGGGAGAAGGGGTAACAAGGCCGCAAATCCCTGCATTCATGGAGTTACGGGAGGAGAAGTATGGTCATGCCTGACTTCTCATTTAAACTTTTCTCTACTTTCCAAACTTTCCAAAATAAGCTTTTATAATGAAAACAAACCTATTTGAACAACAGCAGCTTTTTGCTGAGAAGGTGGGAAATTTACTGCATCCTAGAAGATGAACTGTAGGGCCCCTCTGAGATTTGTTCAGGGCGATCCCAATTAACAGAAGAGGAAACTGAAGCCCAGGGAAGGAAAGTGACTTGCCCAAGGTCACACAGAGGGGAGCAGAGGCTGGGCCCAGAGCTTCGCACTGAGATTCTTCTGCTCAGAAGCAAAAGCACTACAGGCAGCAGGCAAAGCAAAGCCCCTGAGGCTGGCTGGTTCCCATCCCATAGTTCTCGGCTCAAACATCCCTTTCCCTGACAAGTTAGTGTGCAGTGTCTCCAAGGCATGTGTCCCAAGCTGTAAATATCTCCTTTATGGACCTGCTTCCTTCTTTCATGCTGTCTTCCCTGTGCAGACAGTGATCAGATTTTATTCAGTGCATGGCACATAGTCAGCTCCCAGGAAGTAACTGCTGAAGGAACAAGCAAATGCATGACTCAATGAGCTTTTCCTTCAACTCTTAAGGGGCAGAACATGGGCTTTGCAGGTGGTTGTAAAAATCAAACGAAGGGCGTGAAAAGGTCGTCTAGCGCCTAGCACATCGGGTGACTTGGAAGCAGAGGCTCTGTTTGCCTTCATCTGTATGTACAGCCCCACATGTGAGAGGCCCTGCCCTGTGCCTTGCTAGTCAAGAGGCAGCCACAGGCCTCTTGTGCATGTCCCGGGCTTGATTCTCAGGGAGTCAGTCCGCAGAGACGTTTTCTAGCTGCAGCATGAAACTGGTCAGACTGGTTGAGGCATAAACTGTGAATTTTTCCACACACAGCAGTAACGAACATGACTTGGCAGCTTTCTATGGCCAATGTGCTCAACTTTGGGAAGAAATCACTTTCCAGCCAGAATTCAACGAAATCCTGCAGTCTGGCTTTGAAATTCCTCAACTCGAGGGAACTCCCATGAGAAGCAGTAATCTCAATAATCCCGCAAAACACTGGCTTTGGAGTTTGGCAGCCTTGGGTGTGCAGTATGACTGTAGAGCTTTCTACGTGAACTTGAGCCTGCTTCCTCGTTTGTATAAAGGGGGGCAATCCGTAACTTTTGGACGGGTGGTGAGTACAAGCGAAGGTCCCTTTGACCTGCGTCTGGGGATTGTGGTTAGGATTAAATTAAATAATGGTTATGAAAGCACCTGATCCAGGGCCAGACCATCGTAGTCAGTAATTTGGAGCCAGACAGACATGCATTCCAATCCCAACTCAGATCCTCTGGATGATTCTGCCATGTTGGGCAAGTTACTGTCTCTCTCATCTACAGTCATGGGGATGATAAATAACCCCAAGGACTGTCATACAGATTCGGTGAGAAGCATGTGGAGCATTTCACAGGGCCAAAAATGTTCAGGACCCAGGATGAGAGCAGAGGTCCACCAAACCTATGTCCACATATAGCAAACTGTTAAGCAAAATACCGTTCTCTCCCGCCTTCCTTTATGCACAGAGCTTCAGAATGTTGTGGAACTGTGCTGTCCGATACGGCAACCACCGCCAGCCGTGCGTAGCTGTTTCAATTTAAATTTAATGAAATTTAAAATTCCCTTCCTCGGCTGCACTGGCCACATTTCAGTAGCCTAGATATCTGGCTGCTACTGCTTGGACAGAGAATACTCCTTCATTGCAGCAGGTTCTAGTGCCCAGTGCTGGTCTGGAAGGATGCACGTGAATTCAGAATCCCAGGACTCCTCGGCATTCTGAGCTAGAAGCAGGTGGCAGAGTGAAGGCTGGCCTCTGGGCCCAGGCTTCCCGCCTCCTTTTCTTGCCACTGCATGGAAGCCCCAGCCAGCCCTGGCCTCCCTGGTGGGTCTGAGGGCTGCGTCCAGCAGCACAGCCTGCCCTTAGCAGGACAGAGGTAGCTGCTGCAGGCTGGCTTGGGTCATTTGTGCAGGGAATTCAGGGATCCCAGGCCACAGCTGGGGTCGGAAGGGTGCCCCTCTGGGTGGGCACCCTGTGGCCCTGTGAATTCCTCACCCAGTGAAGAAGGGACACTGATGGAGAAAGGCCAGAGCAGGGGCCCCTCTGGCCTGGGTCTAAGAGCAGAAAAGGCATCTGACACAGGGCCGTGCACAGAGTGAGCTCTTTAGAAATGGTGGCTTCTCTTATTATTGGGTCTTCATTTTTGCATTTGAAAACAAGACAAAAACCGAATCTACTGAGCCAGGAGTTGGAACCATCCCCTCTAGCTCCAAGATGCCAGCCCCGCCCCTCCCTGGAGCCCTGCAGGACGAGGGCAGGGTGGCTGGCAGGGACTGTTGGCACCGCCCATGCCCCTTGGGGCCCAGCCCCGCCTTAAACACCCCCTCCCCCCGCACAACCAGGCAGAGGGTGTCAGTGGGCCCCTCCTTCCTTTGACCCCAGCTGGCCCAAATGCCGGAGAAGCTGGGGCAGCTGGGAGGCCCCAGACTTTTGAACACACTTCAGTATAGCCCATTCTATGTGGAAGGCACTTTCCACTTGGGAAATGTTCCAAGCGCTAAAGGAAGACCTTGTGCCCTTTTAGAGACCTTGCTTCATCTTTTTCATTCATTCATCGTTCATTCATTTATTTAAAATATCTAAGGGCTTAATGAGAACCCTCTGAGTACCAGACCCTGTGATGGGCTCAGAGGATAAACTGCTGACAAGACCAAGAGTCCCAGCCCTCTGGGAGCTTTAACAGGAAGCTCATTATACATGCCATCAATGTGAGCAAAGAGCTGCAGGTGCCATTAGAATATACAAACCCACTGAGAGAGTCAGGATGCCAGACCTGAAGGACAAGCAGGGATTAGAATCCCCTGGAGGTTGTGCCTTCACTGGGCTGGTCTCAGAGACCCCAGGTAAGTCCAACCTGCAGCCGGGACAGGAGCAGAGGTCTCAAGGGAAGAGGGCAGGGTTGCAGGCAGAGGGACAGCAATGTGCAAAGGCCCCAGACTGAAGGGCATTTGAGAAAGGACAGCATCCCCTAAGGCCCTTCCCTAATATGCTTTTGGACGGGATGGAATCAGAGCCGCCGGATCTGGACACATAGGCCGTGTCTGTAGCTCAACTTTCCCCTTTCAACACGCAGGTGGGGCGACTTGAAAGTGAAGCAAGGAGACATTTTTAAGGGACAATAAACAGCAATTAAAAAGCGTGGCCGGAGCTACCCTTCCCAGCACTCGCTCTTCTTTGCGGACGGCTCATGCGGTGCCTTTTTAAAATACACGTGCTAAACTTCTTAGCTTGGTTCCAAGGAAGCAAATCATTTCTAGAGCTTGATAAAAGGTTATAAAATCCTGCAGTGTGTGGGCAGCGGAAGGGAGTGCTTCCTCTCTGTGTATCATCCACAGGCTGAGGCCTCCACGAGGCGGGGGTGGGGTGGGAGGTGTGGTGGAGGTGGGCAGGCCTCAGGATTTGCCACCTGTGTGCTTTGTGACACCCCCATCGCATCCTGGAGCCAGGAGACACCCCAAGCGCAGCCCTATGGAACTTCCCAGAGTGACGGGCACAGAGGCCAGCAGCTCAGATGATGATTTTGTGGGACACGGCTGTTCAGTCAATAGCCCCGAATCACATGGGGAGAAAGTTAATCCCTTTTTCTCTTCCAATCTTTCCGACTGGGTCAAGGCGAGAGTCTCAGTTAAGTGCCACTATGTCTTTGACACCTAACACTTTTCCAATGTTCTCTTTAAGGAAGAGATCAGGTCTTGGCAAGAGCATCAGCATCAGGCTAGAGCTTAGGACCTGTGCTTTCTTACCAGCCCTTCGCGCTCGTCTGCTCTTCCATCTGCAGCGCACAATGCTGCTGTTCCACTGGGTCGTCGTAGGTTTCCTTCCAAACGAGTTAAGGGAAGAGTGAGTTGCTTTAAATGAAAACATGATTTTGTAAATGTTAATAGAGGTGATAGGAAATACGGTGAAAAGCATGACAGAGATACACAAATGACTGCAGATGGGGAAATGCTGGAGAGAGGAGAAAGGACCCAACTCTGGAGTTGGACAAAGCTGGGTTCAGATGCGGGTCTTCCGCAGCTGGTTGGGAGGTGCCTGAACTCCTGCATGGAAGAGCCTGGAGGGTGGGAGAAGGCTCCCTGGGCTTGTAGGAGTGTCTTCTGTTCCCTAGGCCTGCAGGGCCCTGAGAGAGGTCAGGGTGACCCTCTGGGACTCTTTCCAGGAGTTAGGCCTGCTCGGGAGATCAGCAGAGTTATACCCCTTACCAGCTCCAAGGAAGGGTTTAGAGCCAATCTTGGCTCTGCCACTGGGCTGTGTGACCTTGGGCACATTCCTTCACCTCTCTGTAAAATGAGGCTAACCTGAGGATCTCTCCCATAGATTGTTTTGATCATTAAGTTAGGTAAGGAAAATACAAGGCTTAGCAAAGTACCTGGCACAGAGAGTGCACTGAGTAAGGATGAGCCATCAAAACTGAATTGAATTGAATTTGGATTCATTTAAATTAATTAAGTCATGAAGTCAGGAAGTTCTGGAGCCAGAAGCCTCTGTAGCCTTTAAAACCAAACCCAGAGCCCTGGCAGCATCAGCGTAATTAAGGATAACATCTGGCCCAGGGGTCATTTTTAATGTAAGAACAGGACTGTTCAACATCAGGGAGACGGGTAAGCAACTGGTGATGAATCCCCACCACGGACTGTCAGGCCAATATTTAACATGATGTCATAGAAGAATATTTAATGTCATGGAGAGATGTCTACATGTACAAGTAGGTGGAAATAGTACGTATAGCAGTATACTAAATAGTAGGTACATATTCAGCCATGAAAAAGAGTGAGGCCCTGATACGTGCTACAACACTGATGAACTGTGAAAACACGCTTCGTGAAAGAGGCCAGCCACGAAAGACTACATATTGTATGATTCCATTTATATGAGATATCTAGAATAGGCAAATACACAGAGATAGAAAGTAGATTAGTGGTTACCTGGGGCTGGGGGGGTGATAGTTAAAGGGTACAAGGTGTCTTTTGGGGAAATGAAAATGTTTTAAAATTGATTGTGCTCATGGTTGTACATTCAACTCTGTGAATATGCTAAAAGCCATCGAATTGAACACTTTGTTTTGGTTTTTTGAAGATTTTCTTTTTAATGTTGACCATTTTTAAAGTCTTTATTTAGCTTGTTACAATGTTGCTTCTGTTTTATGTTTTGGTTTTTTGGCCGGCAGGGCATGTGGGACCTTAGCTCCCTGACCGGGGATTGAACTCTCACCCCCTGCATTGGAAGGCGAAGTCTTAACCACTGGATGGCCACAACTACTGAAGCCCGCTCGCCCAGAGCCCGTGCTCTGCAACAAGAGAAGCCACCGAAATAAGAAGCCCGTGCAACGCAATGAAGAGTAGCCCCGCTCGCCGCAACTAGAGAAAGCCCGCGCGCAGCAACGAAGACCCAACATAGCCAAAAAAAAAAAAGAACAGCTCATTTTGAATTTCAATATTAACGAAATTAGAGCCAAAGTCACTTCCTGAGTGGGCTCACATCTCCCAGGACTCAAGCCATTACCTTGTCCATGTGGAGGGGCACTGCAAACCTCTTGAGGGCTGGGACGGAGGTGAGCCTGGAGTTCTCCTCGAAGCTCTTCTTCAGGTTGGCCAAGTAGAAGAGCTGGTAAAGGCTGCTGTCCTCGTAGGCAATGACGTCGAACAGAAGGCAACTGTCCTCTTCGTAGGCATTGACGTGATGAAACACCACCATGGGGTCCGTGTAAAATTTGGTCAGCACGGACTTCCTCGTCCTTTGGTCAATGATGTGAATGTAAGTCTGAAAGGAGATGCACATCAGTGGTCAGCTCTTCCTCTGCAGGCCCAACACAGCGGCATCAGGCAGGGGACAAGACCCAGCCCTGCCATCCACTTGCTTGCGACCCTGAAGCATTCCCTCCCCTTTATGAGCCTCTCTGTACCACCTCCAGACACACGCAGAAGTGCTGAGGGAGGAGGGAAGCTTTACTACCAGGGCCCCTTCCTCACCAGGAGGACAGTACCCAGGGAGATACAGGATCTGAGAGTGTATCGTCTCCCCAGCCTTCACTTGACTGTGATCCAGGTGGGCAGCGACAGGCCAGCTCCCAGGCCAGGCCAGGTTGGGGAGAAACAGTCAGGTCCAGCCCTCTAAGGCTTCTCAGGCCCCATTGGTGGCCAGCGCCCCTAAAGCCCCTCCTGGGTCCCCTCTCCTGACCTTTGCCCGCTGCAGGTGTGGTTTCCCCGGTAACCCGGCTGCCCTGGAGGGCTGCGGTGCTGAGTGACCGCTCTAGTCAAGGAGTCCATGTGAGTATCGGCTCATTAGGCATCCTCAGGCACCTCTGGGTGTCACAGGCAGTATCACTCTGGGTTTCAAGTAGCCATATCTGCAGCCCCAGTTGCCTAATCCAAGGAGGAAGGGGTATTTTCTTTCGTTTGGCAGCTCTGGCCTAACCATCCTCCTTCTGAAAGGAGGGAGGGGCTGCTCCAGGCTGCCATTTCCCCACCTCCTCTGGCTCATTGCTTCTTTCTCTCCTTTCCCAGAATCAGGGTTTGAAGTTAAGTGGGGGAGGGGCGAGGAGTAGTGTACAGAGGAGGAGGGCATTGGTAGGGAGGGTGGGTTTGGGGAGGTGAACACAGGCGTGGTTACTGTAGGCTTTCTTCCCCATAAACCCAATCCCAGGGTCAGCCACAGGGACTTCTTGGAAAGTTCTCCAAATGCATTCCAAAGCCCTTCCCAGGGCTCTGTGCCCCGTCCTCGGGGGCTCTGTCTTCTCACTGTGGGGCACTCCAGGGCCAGAGGTTCCCAGGGGCTGCAGACTGGAGGCCTAGGGGGCCCCGACACTCCTGCTGGCGGGATGCTCGTGGTCCTGTGGAGCAAACCCACTTCCGCAGGCTCCCTGCTGGCCCCCTTGCCCAGCTCATTCAGTCCACAAACATTCATATGAGGGCCTAAGACACATAAGACACTTTCGGGGGAGCTGGAGAGAAAAAATAAAGCCACCCGCCCACTTTCATGGAGCGTATACTTCAGTGGGGGTGAGGCCAAGGTCAGTGATCAATACATACAACATGTCAAGGATGACGGGTGAGCATGACTGAGAAAATGGAGTGGGGGATGGAGAAAGCCTGTCGGGGGTTGGGGGGGTCTGTGATAGACAGGCGGACCTCAGGGATGGGGGAGCGTAGAGCGAGACCGGGATTGATCAAGGGAGGAAGCCATCTGGGGAAAAACATTCCAGGTGGAGGGGACACAAAATCAAAGGCCCTGAGGCAGGAACGTGTTTGGCAGGTTTGAGGTGTAGGAGGTGACCACGTGAGCAGGAAGCCAGTGGTTGGGATGAGGACATGTGGGCCTTTATGGGCTGGTGAGTGAAGCCTTTGGATCCTATTCTGAGGAAGACGGGAAATCACCAGAAGGTTCTGAGCAGAGGAGGGATCTCGCCTAACCCCTTTGTTCCCTCGAGGACCTCACTCTCCTCCTTGAGAATACAGGCATCATAGAGGCGGCAGCCACACACGGGACACATATTTGTGTGGGAACATGACGATGCACGTGCTGCACAGAAAGAGGAGTAGAAGGGTGTCGGATGGGTGGTGGTGGCTCCCTCTGGAGGGGGCTGGACGGGGAGGAGGAAGGGGACTTGATCTGTTGCTTTCTACGCTTGTGTGCTATTTGAAGAGATGACACGGAGAATTACTTGATTATTTTTCACAAGTAACAATAGCAAATAAATACTTACATACACCTATACATGAATAATGTATTAATACCCACATGTATACACACATACACACATGCAGACATCACATATACAGGGAGGTACACGTACATAACAGGCACACAGATACTCTGAGCACTCCACTCAGGTGTACCTAAATCGAAGACGTTTCTGTTACACCATCCGGTGGGACGCTCTATCATCATGACGTCTAACTAATCTGTGACATCCCCTCCCCGCCCCCCAGCAGGGATGCGGAAAGGGCCTTGTCGATGGACGGCGGAGGCTGGAGGAGGCCAGGCGCCGGTCAGGGCTGATGAGCAGTCCCTCTGCTGCTCGGCCAGTAGGGGCTGCCTTGGCTGCTGGGGCTGCCTCGCCCAAGGTGCCACGCTCTTCTGCGGATGGTCTGCTCTACTGACTTATGGACGTCGGGGCATAAAGGCCCAGCCCCTTGCCCTAACTGGGGACCACTGTGAAGGACCATCCCAGCTTCAGAACTCGCTGGAAGGTCGGCTCATGCCTCTGGGGAGACTGCGTGGCAGCTGAGGGCCTCCCTACCGAAGCCACCCCTGCCTGCTGACCTCCATCTTGCTCTGGCCGTCCTCGTGCTGTGGGGTCACCGGCCCTGCCTTACCTTGTCCTCCCTGTGGAAAGCCAGGCAGGAGGCCCAGCTTGCGCCCCGGAGGTAGGCGGTTGCCATCTTGAGGATATCCATCTTGAAAGGCTGCTCGAGGAAAACGATGTAGCTCTCGGTGACTCCGAAGCTGTGGTAATAGCTCGGGGAGAGGAGCGAGTGCGAGGCGATGGAGCAGAACACCTCCATGTGTTTCAGGGGACTCAGCCCCTTCTTCCCGCCCCCTAGAGAGAAGCCAGCCTCAGAGGCAGTGCAGGGCCTGGCGGCCCCCGACGGGGCCACCGTCTCCTGCAGCGCGGCCTCTCAAACCCACCCGGCCGCTGAGAAGAACCTTCGAATGAGAGCCGACAGCAAACGGGGTGAAGGGGCTGCTGCCTGGCTGATGCAGGGACGGGGCCCTTCCCCCGTGAGATCTGGTCTGGCATCCAAAACCACTGCATCCCCAGGCTCTGGGCCTCTGGGCCAGGCGTGTGCAACTCCAACACGGGGCTAACCCAGCCTCCACCTGTTTTCTACGTAGAGGTTTATCTGGACCGTGGCCCCTGCAGGGTCCACGGCTGCTTTGCTTTCGAGATTCAGAGTTGAGCACACGCAACGGAGACCATACAGGCGGCAAAGCCTCAAATACTTATTTTGTGGACCTTTACGGAAAACGTTTGCCAACCCCTGCTCTGGAGCAATGTTCCTCACTTACACGTGCACGCGGATCATCTGGGCGTCATGACAAAATGTGGAGTGTGACTCAGCCTGTGGGGTGGGGCCCGAGGCCCTGCACTTCCGTCAAGCTCCCAGGCAGTGGGCTAGCTTCCCAAGGTTAAGTTTTGATATGTTGCTGAGAACCATCATTTGACGTGTACTTCACGGGGTTTCTATGAATTTCTTTTGGCATTGCCCGTTCTGAAACACCTGGGAATGAGACTAACTGTCTATGGTAATGTGACAGATTGTGACAGTCAAGGTAGGCTGCACGATTCCCATTTTACAGGTGGGAAACTAGGGCTTGGTGGGATGCTCCATCATTACAGCCAGAGGCACAGGGTTAAGCCGGAAAGACACAGGCTCCTTAACCTGGCTGCCTACTCTGTTATTAGAGGGAAGGGAGAGACCAAGGGAAATCCTGCAGGAGTCCAAGTACCTTGCTCAGCATCCACCACGAAGGTGCTCAGGACTATGTTTTCTTTTTCCTCTGCAAGGATGAGTCACCCGCTGGCCAAAAGGCCTCCCCACCCAGGCCTGGGGCTGGGTTATAATGAGTTACATGCAAGCTTCGCCACCTTTTTTGTGGCCACCTGTGCACACTGTAAACAGCTGGCTGGTGGGAGGGATGCTCTGGGTTGTGGGGCAGTTCTTTTCTTCACCAAACCAATGGAACACAAAGCAAACTGAAAGGAAAGGCACCCGGGCCTGGGAGGCAGGACACAGGTGTGAATCCCAGCAAAGCTGCCAGCCTGGACCAGGTGTGCAGAGGGTACCTCCTGTGAGCCGTGCGCATGTCACCTGATGCCCCTGGGGCTCGCAGTGCTCTGTAATATGAGGTGGCAAACTCAAATGGCTAGACCACCCCCAGGTCTGCATTCTAGGATCCCAAGCCAGACCCTATATCCCTTTATTGGCTTAATTAATGGCAGTTCCATTTAACAAGAGCATTGTACCTTCTGACCTCGGGGGCCCCCTCCGGCCGGCGGGGCGGGGATGGGGGGGGGGGGGGGGGGGGGGGGGGCTCTACGGGACTGTGAGGGAGGGGAGCCAGCAGGGATCACAGATGGAAACCGGCCTTCCTAAACCAGAAGGTCTAGCCAAGCACCCTCATAGTTCTGTCCCTGAGCCTGCGCAGCCACTCTTGGAGGCCTGGTCTCCTGGGTGTGGTTCCCAAGAGAGTCCGGGACAAATAAGGGCTAGGAGCCCCGCCCTCCTCCCCCTCAGGAACATAATCTGTCTGGGCTCCACGCCAGGCTCCCACCCCTAAATGGAGAAGGTCCAGGAGGCCAGCAGAACAGGGTGGGGATCTGGAGTGGGTGCCAGCAGGGCTGAGCTCCCTGAACAACCCTGGGAGCCTGGCTTCAGGGGCTGGGATGAAAGAGGACAGCACAACCCTGACATACAGAGGTTTGTCAGAAAACTAAAAAAAATGAATGAAAGAAAGGAAGGATGGCTGGATGGCTGGATGGCTGGATGGCTGGATGGCTGGATGGATGGATAGATGGCTGGCTGGCTGGCTGGCTGGCTGGCTGGCTGGCTGGCTGGCTGGCTGGATGGATGGATGGATGGATGGCTGGATGGATGGATGGATGGATGGATGGATGGATGGATGGCTGGATGGATGGCTGGATGGATGGATGGCTGGCTGGCTGGCTGGCTGGCTGGATGGATGGATGGATGGCTGGCTGGCTGGCTGGCTGGATGAATAGATTAACGGATGGATTGATAGGTAGATGATTAATGAATAATGGATAAATCAATGAATTAATGAACAGGAACCTAAAGAAAAGGAGGTTGGAATAGCAAAGGGATTCACTTCTTCCAAAAGGAAGCCTAGCATCATTTCTTTTCTCCTAAAGGAGAAAAGTGAGTTCACGGTCCTCTGAATCATCTGTGCGGGTAAGTGTCAGATTGAGTGCTGTGTTATCAACCAAAATCAGAACTCTTCCGAAAGAGCCACCCTTGGTGTCTGTACTCCATTACAGCCCCAGAATGACCCACCTGATACTGTGGCAGGGATCTTAAAGATCACATATTTTGTCTTCCCCTTGTCCACGATGGACGTACCAATGTTGAGAACATTTCCAGCGTCATCATAATGAGGATGTGATGTTGCCAGATTTACAGCCACATGTTTACGATAATCAACCTGCAAAACATGACAGCCACCTGGTTTTTGAAAGGGGAAAGGGTGAAATCCTGTGAAAAGCTGACTGACTCCAGGTTCAGAGAGATGATGGTTATTTTTGCACATCTCCTGATCTGAAAATAAGGCAGACATCACCTTTAAAGGAGATGTTTCCTCTTGCAACCTGATGTAACCTCGAGGGGGCCTCCCACAGCTAATAGGCTGCAGGGGACTTGGTGAGCTACATGTGTTTTCTCTGACAGTTGTTCCTACCCTGCCACCTGGCCTTGCCGGCAGAGAGGCAGCCTTAGGGCTAATCTTGGCCACTTCTTTGGTGAAGCTATTTAAATTCTCCCCTTTTGCATCCCACAGAGGCATAAATCTCCAGGCCTCTCTCATAGGGTTATTCTGGGAACAGAAAGGTTACAAAAACATTTGGTCAAAGGGAAAAGAGACTAAGGAGCTCAATAATGATCCCGACTCCTAACAGGCCACAACCATACAGCAATGGGGTGGCCCGGGAGCCAACTGCCTGCCCTTCTTCCCCCAGAATAGCACAACCTCCTCCAGCCAAAAGTCAGGCGATACCTCGTTCTCTCCTAGTAATTCCTCTCTGCAGCTCTGTGGAAAGCGTACATCAGTTGGACCTACGCCGCCTAGCCTAAAAGGAGCTGGACGTAATTTCACAGCTAAGGAAAGCACTCCTTCCAAGGGATTGTTAAATTGTATTGCAAAGACATCCAGGCTTTGAACTGCCAGCTGGAGAAAACTGAAAGTGGGTCTATTGATCTTCACGAAAATGTAGACTTGATTCTACCCAGGAAAGGTATCTGCTTGGGCACTGATTTTTGCGCCCTTGCTCTGTGCCTAATGCCTCCCTCTTCAGGTCAATACAAGGCAGGGCTGCTGGGAGTCCTGGGTGGCCCAGTATAGTCATTCATTCAAATTTCCATTGAGGTGCCACTCAGTGTCAAGGAGTATGGACGCTGTTAGGGGTTGAATTGTATCTTCCAAAAAGATATGTTGAAGTCCTAACCCCTGGTGCCTAAATTTGGAAATAGGGTCTTTGTGGATGTAATCAAGTTAAAAAGAGGTCATTCTGGATTAGGGTGGGCCTTCACACAATGATTTGTAGCTTTGCAAGAGATTGGATTACAACAATTATTGGTTGTTCCTATAAACCAAGGAACAACCACCAGAAGCTGGAAGAGGCAGAGAAGGATCCTCCCCTAGAAACTTCAGAGAGAGAATGGCCCTGCCGATATCTTGATTTCAGACTTCCAGCCTCCAGAACTGTGAGAGGATACATTTCTGTTGTCTTAAGCCACCTAAGATACATTTCTGTTGTATTCCTTTGTTATGGGAGTCCTAGGAATGAATACAGACACAAAGATGACAGGACACAGTCCTGCTGTAAGGAAGCTTAGAATCTAGTGCTAAGTGCTGAGTTGGGAGAGCCCAAGACCCAAGGGCATCAGAGGAGGGCTCCTCTGTGAGTTCCTGCAGGCTCCTGGCCTCCTGCAGGGGGTCCCTTTCTTGACTCAAGAACTGAGACTGGTTGTAGATTTACTGATACCTTCTCCAGGGTTTCCAGGGTCTGGGGATTGATTTTCCTGATGTAATTGGTCTCCGTGGTTGCACAGAAGTCTTCTCCACACTTCATGATGTTGATCAGACAGTTGTCTGTGAAATCAGGGATGGTGTGGGACAGGTAGGAGAAAGCTCTGGGGAGGAAGCAAGTCAACGGGGTCAATGGCTGTGTCCACCCAGCTGGAAAGTTCTACTCGAGATGGTTTTAATTTTCCCACCACTTAAAACACTCTACTTCAACTAAGGGAGAAAAAGTACTGGGTCTTAATGGGTTCCTTGAGGAATCCTGAGGACTCAGAGATCAAGTTACCCAAAAATACCGCCACATTCAATCAGCTAAGGAGGGAGTCAGCTGAGACAACAAGGCTGCCCACTGAGCCCCCCTGGGCTACCCAAATCCCAAAGTCTCCTGCACCAGAGCCATCAAGACCTGGTGGATTGTTCTGAAGTATTTTAAGAAGCTCTACAGAAATCATAGTCATACCCATAATGGCCCCCCAAAGACTAGCAAAACAGCTAATCTGCTTTGCGCAGGAATGTGAGCCCACCCTGGTTACCCAACTTTGTACAGGATATTAGATTTTTGAAAAAGAAAAGTAAACTAACTATGAGTAAAGAACTGATCACTTGATTAGAAGGCAAACTCAAAGCAGGAAGTCCTGACCCCGTGTACTGGTTAGTGCTCCCCCTACTGGCAAACAGTGTAACAGCAAGGAGGCCCCACAGGCTGCAGTTTTAAATTCATTCCCTCCCCTCCCCCAGGCTCCTCCCCCAGCAGGGAATGGGAGTTCCCCGCTTGCTGTGTGCCGGACTCAGCACTGGACGCTAAGACTGGAGAGATGATGTCAGTTCTGGAAAAGTAGAAGCCAGCCTCCCTCTCTGGGCCAGTCTACCCCTAAGACATTTCACAACCCTTCTATGTCTAAAGAGTATCAGAAAGGAGGTACTGATGGCTGGCCTGATTCCCTGGCCGACAATTTAAGTGTTGAACATGTATGTAATACATTCATATGCATCACAACCCAGATGATTTTAACTGTATACAACTGAAAATTTCCCCATCCTTCCTCTCATCAGTTCCCCACCTCCCTCATGCATCCTTCCAGAGTTTCTGCACATACGAAACTAAATCTAGATTTCCCCGTGCCTTCTTACACAAATTATAGCATATTATATGCTTTCTACACTTTGCTTTTTTTTTTTTCCACTTAACAGTATATCTTGGAAATCTTTCATTTGGAACATAGAGAGCATCCTCATTCCTTTATTTATACCTGCCTGGTATTTTCCTGTAGTGTTACTGTGATTTATTTAACCACTCCTCTGTTGATGATCATTTGAGTTATTTTAAGTTCCTCATCATAACAAATAATTCAGCCATGAACAACCTTGTACATTTGTCATTTCAGACACAAGCAAGTACCCCTCTGGACTGAAGGGAATGTGCATTTGTAATTTTGAAAGATAATTCCAAAGTGCTCTCCCACCAGCTATGTGGGAGAACACCCAACAATCTGTCAGATGCTCTTTGCCTCTCTTGCTGTCAGTGATCAAAAACTGCGTAGCGTATATGGTCAAAGGCCATCATGGGAAATTTTCCACCCAACCTACAGACAGCCATCCGGAGCAAACACTGGTTGTTTTGACTGTAAAGGACATTGGAAAGCAGAACTAGATTCAAAATGGACAGTTACTTGGAAAATATGTTTTTGCAGGGGTCCGGATAGGCCATTGTTCCAAATTCTGACACCACAATCCTATTTGCTTCAATATTGGCATTGTAGGTATCACTTCTCAGGTATTTGCTCCTGTAATAGACTTCACCAGAAAGAGAAGCAGCAGAATCATCCCAGACTGACACCTTTACAGGGCTTTGAAGTTGATTTCAGCCATTCCAGGGATTTGATGGGCAGCGGGGGGGGGGGGGGGGGGGGGGGGGGGGGGGTAGGGAGTTCACTGGGACAGTCCCTTTAATGTGTGTGCTAGATAAAACAAGCATTTGGAGGGAACTCTCACACACATTTCGGCAAGGTTGAGACTCACAACAATATGTCCAGGTAAGTATTCCTGTTCCCAGCCCCATCTTCATGTGAGGGAACTGAGGCTCAGAAATGTTCCATCCCGTTGCCCAGCATCACCCAGAGAGGTGCTGATCCAGGCCATCAACCACCTCTTCCACCATATTTGTATCTTTCCAGGTAAGGTCCAGATTTGGAGGATTAGTCCAGAAGGCCCTGTACTTAGGCTAGGTTTCTCCAGGGCCCTGTTCAGTTCTGGGGGCCCTACACTGACAATTTAGCCCCTGGAGTAACATTTCATATCTCTTTGCAACCAGGGAGCACCCTTATACCCAATTCTGCACACAGTAGAGGGTCAGTACATGTGTTGATGACACTGCAGAGAATCTGACTCACTCCAGAAAAGCATGGACTCTTGACTAGTCCACCAAGACCAACCTGAAAATATACCAGATGGTTCTAGACCTATATTAATTTCCTATGGCTGCTGTTACAAATGATCATAAATGTAGTGGCTTAAAACAACACAAATTTGTTATCTTACTGTGTTGGAAGACATCGTCTGAAATGGGTTTTACAAGGCAAAAATCGAAGTGTCAGCAAGGCTAGTTCCTCCTGGAGGCTCTAGGGGAGAACCTAGAAGCTGCCTTTATTCCTTGGCTTGTGGCTGCATCACTCTGAGCTCTGATTCGCCGTCACATCTTTTCTGACTCTGACCCTCCTGCCTTCCTCTTTCCTTTATGACTACACCGAGCCCACCCTGATAATCCAGGACAATCTCCCCATCTCAAGGTCCTTAACTTAATCACATCTGCAAGACCCTTTTACCATGTAGAATAGCACATAATATATTCACAGGTTCCTTCTGGGGAGAGAAGGGGGAGGGAAGGGGAGAAAGGGGAGAGGAGAGAGGGGAGAGGGAAGAAGGGAGAGAGATATGGAGGGAGAGAGATACATATACTTTTCGTGGGTGTGGGTGAGTCAGGAGAGGCTTCACAGAGGAGGTAGCACTTGAAAAAGCCCTTGAAGGATGAGTAGAATTGAACTGCAACAGATCCGGGAGGTGGGGCTAGGAAGAGGGTCAGGTGTTCCCATGGACTCTCCCCAGAAAGTCTGTAAGCAAAGACCTAGGGGTGGGGAGTACAGCCCACTTCCTGGAAGGGCTAAGTCAGTGTGGGCTGGAACACCAGGCACTTGGGAGCAGCAGGCATGAGATGAGGCTGGGGGTCATGTGGGGACCTTACTAAGTCTTCAGGGCTGTGAATACTGAGGCCTTTGACCTTTGTAGTGGCCTATCTGGACCCCTGCAAAAACATATTTTCCAAGTAACTGTCCATTTTGAATCTAGTCCTGCTTTCCAATGTCCTTTACAGTCAAAACAACCAGCGTTTGCTCCGGATGGCTGTCTGTAGGTTGGGTGGATCATTTGAAACCTCTGGGGTTTGTTTTTGGGTTTTTTTTTGCGGTACGCGGGCCTCTCACTGCTGCGGCCTCTCCCGCTGCGGAGCACAGGCTCCGGTCGCGCAGGCTCAGCGGCCATGGCTCATGGGCCCAGCCGCTCCGCGGCACATGGGATCCTCCCGGACCGGGGCACGAACCGGCGTCCCCTGCAATCGGCAGGCGGACTCGCAACCACTGCGCCACCAGGGAAGCCCCTCCTCTAGGGTTTTTGTTTCATTTTATTTTGCCATTAGTTAGCAAATGACATTATGTTGACTTTTCCCCTCTAGAGAACGCATTCCTTGCTGTAGTATAACCTATGCTTCCAGGGTTGGTACAATGATAACATGCAAAAAAGTAGGACCCAGGATATACTGACAGTTTGTTCCCATAAAAAAGAGGTTCATCAGAGAAACGCCCTTCATGTATCTACTGTCACAATGATGGGCTTCAAGGAGAGACTGAATCCCAAGAAATTCCTGCCCAGGGCCTTTTTATATTTTCAGGAAAGGAAATGAAACTAAGAGCTAACATTTATTGAGCATGTGTGTGCTAATCACTGTGAGGGCACTTTATGTGTATTATCTGGTTTAATCCTCTGAACATAAGAAGTGTGTAGAAGACTCTAACTAGAAAAGTATTCTTTAGGGAAAAAAAAATCAACTTAATGTCATTTGCTAATTAACAGCCAAATAAAACAAAATTTAAACAATGCTTGAAGGTTTCAGATTTCTTACAAAATGAAGGGCAAAGGGCTTGGGCACTCACGACCCTGCAAGCCCATTTCCCAGCTAATAAATTGAGGCACACAGAGGTTAAGTACCTTGCCTTAAGCCACACAGCTAGCGAGTGGTAAACTGGACTCAAAAGCTGGCAACTGGAAGATCCTGACACAGCGACCACATCAATTTACCATTCTATCTGTTCCTTGTTATTAAAAATATACCTATAGAAATATGCTACCATAACTGTATGGTTTGGTGAAGTTTCACAAACTAAACCTACCCATATAAACTACTTCCTGATCAAGAAACAGAATGTGAGCAGCCTTTGGGAAGGCCGCTCATATCTCATCCTATACTAGCCTCTCCGATCCCAACCCTGCAGGGGAACCACTATCTTGACTTCCAACAGTCTTGGTTAGTTTTGCCCTCAGGGTTGCGTTTTCACCTCTGTTTCCAAAGGATGTGAGTGTACGTTTCAGCAGTGATGACTCCAACCTGTGCATTTAAGTGGCAACAGCAACAATGATGGTAACACTTGTCATGATAAAATTAGAAGAGACCATGAAAGACCTTCTGGTGCTTTCTCCAGTCTTCAGGGGGTAAACTGTGTGTCAGACAATCATCTGTCCTCTTTGCAAGCATCTTTTCAGGGGTGGCTACTGTACATCAGTATCTCTGAGATATTTGGTGGGGAGAGCTTTGTCCCTGGGGCAGCGGAAAGGAACATGGAGGAATGGTTAGGAGCAAGGGCTCTGAGACTAACTGGGCCCGGGGTTCACGCATTTGATCACTATTTGTTAAACACCTGGATGGGCCAGGATGTGAGTATGTAATGGTGAGTGGGACAGGCAAGATCTCCACCCCAAGTAGGTTTGAGTCTCCACGTGGATACGAATCCTTGCTCCATCATCTACCGGCTATGCACTTGACCTTTTGTCAAAGGCAAGCCTCAGTCCCCTCTGCTCTGACATGAGAACCCTGATACCTTCCTCACAGAGCTGCTATAACAGTTAAGGCCTGTAAAGCACTTAGCACATAGTAGGTGCTCAATAAAAAGCTACATATGCTAGTCAGATATAGTAGGTAGCTGGGGCAAGGCTTTGGCTCTGGGCAAGTCCCCATCCAAGCCATGTGACCTTGGGTGAGTCCCTTTGTCACTGAACCTCAGTTTCTTCAACGGGAAGCTGGGGATCATACAGTCCTCCCCAACTAGGGTTGGCAGTTTTAAATGAGATGGGACGGTAGAAGGAGTTTGGCTCCCTGGCACTTAGCATGCATGTGATAAATGATGGCTGCAGTTCTGAATTCTCCAAAATCCTGGAGGCAGGAAGACTCACCTGGGGGCTGGTGAGGCCACACCTACTGGTCTTCATGCTACACAGGACCAGCTTTAAGACCACTCTGGTCTCCCCTTGAGCCAGCCTGCCCTTCACGGTCACTCTCTTTGAGGGCTGCCACCCATAGGTACTGGCTAATGTGCTTTGCCTAAAATGCTGAATTCTGTTCATATGAAACAAACACCCAGCCCAGGCTGGTTGTCAACAGGCAGCCCATATCCTACAAACAACCAGTCCCAGAGCAGGGAGCGCTCAGAGGGCCATGGGGAAATGTGTCTCTGGAATTACTCAAGGCTGACACTTACTTTGAGGTTGAGATTAAAGAAGGAGGCATGGAGCGTTCTCTAGCACCCTGCTCTCGGGAGCCCAATTAACCACATTCCTTCTAAAGGGACACAAGTAAACAGACGCGTTCCCGCCTGGGATCTTCCAGAACTGGGTCAAGTGTTATTATTTGGTGGGGCAGGAGATATACATATATTTTTTTTTTAATTAAAAAAAATTTAAAGCAAACTTTCCAAAAGACTACATTGGAGCTACAACAGTTGAAAAAGTCAGTTTTGGAGAGGCTTTGTGCCTCTAAATCTCTGTGACTCTGCTGTTGGTGGGAATGTAAATTGGTATAACCATTATGGAGAACAGAATGGAGGTTCCTTAAAAAACTAAAAACAGAGTTACTATACGATCCAGGAATCCCACTCCTGGGCATATATCCGAAAAAGACAAAAACTCTAGTTTGAAAAGATACGTGCACCCCAAGGTTCATAGCAGCGCTATTTACAATAGCCAAGACATGGAAGCAACCTAAATGTCCACTGACAGAGGAATGGATAAAGATGTGGTATACACACACACACACACACACACACACACACACACACACACACACACACAATGGAATATTACTCAGCCATAAAAAAGAATGAAATAATGCCATGTGCAGCCACATGGATGGACCTGGAGATTGTCATACTGAGTGAAGTAAGTCAGACAGAGAAAGAGAAATATTGCATGATATCACTTATATGTGGAATCTAAAAAGATGATACAAATGAACTTATTTACAAAACAGAAATCGAGTCACAGATATAAAAAAAACAAACTTATGGTTACCAGGGGGAAAGTGGGGGAGGGATGAATCGGAAGATTAGGACTGACATATACACACTACTATATACAAAGCAGACAACTAATAAGGACCTGCTGTACAGCACAGGGAACTCTACTCAATGCTCTGTAATGACCTATATGGGAAAAGAATCTAAAAAAGAGTGGACATATGAATATGTATAACTGATTCACTTTGCTGTACAGCAGAAACTAACACAACACTGTAAATCAACTACACTCCAGTTTAAAAAAAACATCTCTGTGACTCTGACTCTTGGAATTCACACGTTCAAATCCTCACGGGACACCGACTTTGCCTCTTCTTGGAAAAGTATCAAACGTGCTGCTAAGAGGGACCTGGGTTGACTCATCTCCATGCCTGCTTTATAAAAATTTTCCATTTTGAAAGAATTTTAGACTTACAGAAAAGAGCACTCCTGTACACCCTTCACCCGGCTTCCCCATCTCCACTCTGCCTTTTTTATTCAAATCTTTTTTAGTTTGTTAAAGCATTATCTTCTAGTGACTTCTGCTGAAGGCTATGAGTCATTTTCCTGTCTTTTGCTTTCTTACTTTCTTACTCCAGTCCTTTCTTCCTGGTTTGGCACTAATTTCCATTCTCCATGCTAGCTGTCTACTAGAACCACCTGGTACTTTTAAAAAATCATGGAGGCCCAAGCCCCAAACCACCAGTGTGCTTGGGTCATCTGGGAAACGTGTTGGAAACATAGATGCTCTATTCCTACCCTTCAAGCCCTGGGTGCGGTCTCAGGATTCACAACCTAAATGAGCATCCTGGGGGATTCTGATGCAGGAAGCCCACAAACCACCTTTTGAGAAATACTGGCTTTGTGTTATGTGCAAATCAGAGAACCCTGATTGCATTGTCCTCTTAAATTGTGTATGGTAGTACTTAACATTTTTGGTTTATATTTCCACTGTTAAACACTAGGGAGCCATTGAGAGTTCAAGAGGAGAGGAGAGACGACGCCAGGCTGTGCTACACCAACACTGGCAATCTGGCAGCCTCGGGAGGATTAGGCTGGAGAGGTGGGGAGAGATGGTAGCTGGCAGGAGTGGGGAATGGGGGCAGAATTGCATAATGCTTAGGACTTAGGATTCTGGATTTAAAGAGCATTGAGTTTATAACTGACTACCACTGCTTCTTAGCTGTGTGCATTTGGGTAAGTTCTTTGGCTACTCTGGACCTTAGATGGCCATCTGTAAAATCAAGATAGTAACAGTGGTCCCTTCCCCAGGAGCTGCAGTGAGGGCTGAGTCGTGGATGGCCATGAACCACTTAGGCCAACAGCCAGCAAGCACTCCCTGTAGCAAGTATTGAAGAGATGGACTGGGGAAGTATTGCCTCCTTCTACCAAAACACCTTCACCTTGCTTGTGTCATTTCAGCTCCACAGAGTTCCTAAGTGCCCCTGTGGGCCAGACCCTGTGCTAAGTGATGAAGATACAACAACCTGAACAGGGACCCTGCACTCTGGGGCCTCCGCCCTAGGCTGGAGAACGGCACACTGATCATTGCAAAGCAGAGTGGGGCCACACACCCTTGACACACGCCCAGGTTCAAGAGCAGGACAGGCAGGAGAGGGCGAGTAATTGGCTATAGTCTCCATTCCTCCCACTTTCTAGCCAATTTCAGATTATGAACAGAACTATCTTTCATGCTGCTTTATTGTATATATTTAAAATTTTCTGCGTATTATGATGTTTTCACACCTTAAAAAAACTTTCTGGCTGGAACAAGACTGTGTCTCCCTGGACCAGACAATTCTTAGAGGCAGGAAAGAGCCCAGTATGTCTTTGATATGCAAACTAACCAATCCTCCATCTGGTCCATACACCGCCGGAGACAATGTCCCTCCACCTTAATCAGCCCAGGACTGAGTACCAGGCAGCTAGGAACCATCCCTTTAGCCCAAAGTTCACTGAATTTTTCACCTAGCCAGTCCTAGGCTGTTCACTCTGCCCTTTCCTGCCTTGCCCTCAGAAACCCCAATAAAGGCCTCAGTCTCAGAGTTCACCCCGCTCCTGTCTTCTGTCTCCTGTCCACCCTGGTGGCTTTCCCATGTGCCCTGCGTGACTCGCCTCCTGTGTCCAGCACCTGTGGGTAGAATAACCTTTATTTTCCTGAGTCTCTCTGTGTCTCCTCTTGTGGTTGCACCTGACCGACCATCTCAGAAAAGAACAGAAAACAGCTACTTGCCTCTGACAGTAACCTTTTAGTTTGAAAACCTACTAGAAGCTTTTAGAAAGTCTAAATAGTATGGGATAACTTTGGTCACTGGCCCATTTAGCCCACTCAAGGATTTTGGTGGACAGCAGCCATACTTCTGTAAGACGGCTAGGGCTCGGTCACCCCCTGCTGGTTCCCTTGTCCCTGGATTCTCTACTGAAGGATACCATTTAAGCATCTGCCATTTCTCAGAGGTGTGTGTGTGTGTGTGTGTGTGTGTGTGTGCACGCGCGCGTGTCTGTGCTGGGCTGAGGACAGGAGAGAAAGCTGCAAACGAACTCCAGACAAGTTCAGATCCCAGCCCTACGTCAGTGACTTTGGATCAGCCACCTAACCTCCCTAAAGTTTCAGTGTCACATGTGCAAGGAGACAAGAGTACCCCCCCCACACATGAATGTGAGCTCGGAAATGGACCATGAAGAACCTGGCAGCGGGTGAGGCAGGGCCTCAGAGAAGGGAAGCCTCTCAGGCACCTCATCCAGAACAGCACTTCTGTCCCCAAGAATCACTGGGAACTTCTGTTTAGGAAAAGAGGGGACTGTTAAGGCTCAAGGCTGTCGGGAAATATGGAACTACCCAGCCTGTAACTGAGTCACAGTAAAAACTGTGAGTTTTTGCAAACTCGGAGCTCATGGCATTCACACACGGCGTCTGTTCATGAAATGCTAGAGCAAGTCGCTGGCGGAGTCCGCACTCAAAAAATAATTGCCGACTAGCTTGAAAGAGATGACAGTTATGTGAAAATTATAGCTAATGCTTATGCAGCACATATGATGAGCTGGGCATTATACAAAGCCCCTCACACATATTAATTTATTTAAATTCCACATCAATTCTATGGGACATGCTACTAATAGCCCCATTTTACAGATGGGGAGACTGAGACACAGATAGGGTCAGTAACTTTGGCCAAGTCACACAGTTTAGGTATGTGTTAGTTAGCATGGTGGAGCTGGGATTCAAATCCAGCAACAGTGATGGTGGTTTTTATTTTATTTTACTTTTCAATAAATTTATTTACTTATTTTTTGGCCGTGTTGGGTCTTTGTTGCTGCGCACGGGCTTTCTCTAGTTGTGGCTAGTGGGGGTTACTCTTCGTCTCAGTGCGCGGGCATCTGACTGCGGTGGCTTCTCTTGTTGCGGAGCATGGGCTTTAGGCGTGCTCCACGGCATGTGGGATCTTCCACGACCAGGGCTCAAACCCATGTACCCTGCGTTGGCAGGCAGATTCTTAACCATTGCGCCACCAGGGAGGTCCTATGATGGTGGTTTTTCATCAACTGAGCATCTACCAGGCATCAAATCCTTGCTGGACACCTAGTACTTCTGATCATCACAAAAGCTTTCCAGGGAGAACGATCAAGCTCCTTTTACTGATGAGGAAACTGAGGCCCAGGGAGGTGGAGTGGCTGCAGCTTGCCCAAGCTGGAACACAGGGGTCAGAGTAAACTCTCACCACGCTGAACCCTACCACATGGCCCTGAGCCTGCTGAAGCCTCCCAGAACCCATTCCAGACCTTTTAAGAACCCGGCTTGTACTTTGTGACATAAATCAGCTCAATGACCAATAGCAGAGAGTAGACAATCCGCCTCCTGAGTCAGTCACCTGAACTCGGAATTTCACTTTAGTTGCGGCACTTCCTACCTTCTGCTCTGTGTTCAGTGTCTTCTCAGGGACGTGACTGACCTGGCTCTCCCTGCCTGGTGAGCAATATGCTCACTTTGTTCTTTTCAGCTCTACACTCCTATTTTAATTTGATGTGTGTCTGATTCCAAAGCCTGTAAACTTCCACCTGTCCCTGCCCACCTTACTGAGAATGCATATTATTTTTCCGGTTGAACTCGCTGAAAAACAACCCTGGCCACCTTTCCAGGGAGGTTTGTGCTTGTGGTGGGCTGAATAATGGCTTCCCAAGATGTCCACATCCCAATCCCTGGAACCTCTGAATATGTTACTTTACAGGGCAGTAGAGACTTTATAGACGTGATTCGGTTAAGGATCTTGAAGTGGGTGATTATCCTGGATTATCTGAGTGAGCCTAGAGTAATTACAAAAACTTTTATAAGAGGGAGACAGGGGACTTCCCTGGTGGTCCAGTGGGTAAGACTCCACGCATGCGTGCCACAACTAAGAGTTTGCATGCTGCAACTAAGAGTCCACATGCCGCAACTAAGAAGTCTGCATGCTGCAACGAAGATCCTGTGTGCCACAACTAAGACCCTGAGCAGCCTAAATAAATAAATATTTTCAAAAAAAAGAGAGAGAGAGAGAGAGACAGGAGAGTCAGACTCAGAGAAAGGGATGTGATGATAGAAGCAGAGAGACAGAGAGAGAAAGAGAGAGACCACAAGATGGTATGCTGCTGGCTTTGAAGATGAAGATGAAAATGGGGCCACAAGCCAAGGGATGCAAGTGACTTCTAGAAGCTAGGAAAAGCAAGGAAACGGATTCTCTCCCTGGAGCCTCCAGAAGGAATAAAGCCCTGCCGACACCTTGATTTTAGCCCAGGGAAATACATTTTAGACTTCCGACTTCCAGAACTGTAAGAGAATTAAATGTGTGTTGCTTTAAGCTACTCCATTGGTGGTCATTTGTTACGGCAGCTACGGCAAATCACACGGTGCTCTTACCGTCTCTGATTGTGAAGCTGTGGAGCAAGGCCAGGCCATCGGAACCAGTGGTTGTATCTGGTCTCGCCCACTGTGTGCATCCCAGGCCCACTGCGGAGCAGGGTCCCCTGCAGCCATGCTGAAATCCTGCCTGGTGAGAGAAAGAACATTTAGTTTCCAGTTCTGCACCTAAACCAAAAAGCTAAAAGAAGTGGCCATACAGCCCCTGTACCACTTGCTGCATCCGTTCATTTCCAGAAAGAATATGTCTGGCATTGTGCTAGCGCTGAGGATACCAAGATGAACAGGCATCATCCCTGTCTCCAAGTTGCTCCCCATCCATTAAAAGACAAAAACAAAGGAAAACACTCAAAATACACTGTGCTAAAGGCAAGGCAACAGACTCAGCAAGGGTGCTGCGTGGAACAGAACTCCACCCTGAAATTGGGTGATAGCAGGAGGGTGAGGAATGTTTCCTGAGGAGGCGACCTGGTTGAGTTTTGAGGGAGAGTAAGTGTTTGCCTTGCAAAGGCCTGAGGAGAGAACATTCTAGAGCTGTGCTGTCCAATGTGGTAGCCACCACCCCCAAGTGGCAACTGGGCACTGGAAACGTGGCTAGTCCCAACTGAGATGTGCAGTAAATGTGAAACACACACCACATTGCAAAGACTTAGTATGAAAAAGAAATGTAAAACATCTCATTAGCAGTTTAAAAATATTAATTACATGTTGGTCTGATAACATTCTGGATATGTGGTATTAAATAAAATATACTATTAAAATTAATTTCATCTGTTTCTTTGTATTTCTTTGAATGCGGCTATTAGAAAATTTTAAATTACACATGAGCAGGCGTTATACTGCCATTGGACAGCATTGCAGGTACTGTTGGGGTCCCACCCCTGTCCCCTTGGCGTTCACCTCTCCCTGAAGGCTGCTTTCTGCAAATACCTACAGCTCTCCACCTAAGGGCTTTGTTCTCACTGTGGAGCAGCTCTGCCCACATGTGGATGAGCTGGAAGCTCACTGGAGAGTTAATGCCCATGAAAGCTGCTCTCACCCAAAGATGGATGGGATGCTATGGGTCAAAGGCCACCACTTCCTTGCCCTCGGCTGACACAATGCAAGGCATATTTTATGCTTTGTCCAGAGGATTCGGCTCCAATGATTCCTGGTGGTCAATGGCTTGACAATGTCTTCTTCATTGGCTTCCCTCCCAGTGTTCCTTAGGAAGCACATCCCAAATAAACGACTTACACCTGAATTCTTATCTCTGGAGAAACCCGAACCCAGAGATCAAAGACCAATTCAGAGATCAGGAGATGTGCAAGTTGTTTAGTAAGAGCTGGCCTGTAACTTTCAAGCGAGGACATCATAAATATTGCGGCTGGAGAGTTAAGTAGGGCCAAGCGACCAAGGTCAACAAGACCACACCAAGCTTTGATTTGGTGCTCAGAAGAATGGGACACCTTTGATGGTTATAACAGGGAAAACAGGATCAGATTTTTTTTTTTTTGCGATTTTAAAAATTGAGATAAAATTCACATAACATAAAATGCACCATTTCAAAGTGTACAGTTCAGGATTATTATTTTTTAATGAACATTTACAATGTTGTGCAGCTATCACCACTAACTCCAGAACATTTCCATCATCCCAGAAAGAAGCCCTGTTCTCATTAGCAGTCAATCCCCACCCCCCGCTCAGCCCCTAGCAACCACTAACCCACGGTCTGTCTCTAAGGGTCTGCCTCTTCTCATACTAACGGAATGTGATCAGATTTGGGGGTTTCGAAAGTTATTTCTGGCTATGGTGTGGAGTGTGGACGGGAGGAGCCAGAGGGAGGTGGAAAGGCCAGAGAGAGGAACAGGGTAGCAGCAGTGGGGATGGAGAGAAACCAATGGAACAAAGGGACTTAGAGTTTGACTAAATGTATGGGGAAGGGGAGGGGAACACTCAAAAACTGCAGCCGAGTCTCTTGCCTTGGGTGGGAGTATTCACAGAGACCCAGGACACAGAAGGAGCAGGTTGAGGCAGAGCAGGGAGAGATGAATCTGAGCATATATTAAAGCCCTAGACATAATAAGAAGGCCATTTATTGAGCACTATGTGTTTTAATAGCTTAAATCATTTAGTCGTTGCGGCAATCTCATGTGGTAGGTACATGTTAACTTTATTAGACGTGAGAGGAAACTGAGTCAGAAAATGCTTAAGTAACTCGCCAAAGAAGCCTCAGAGCCAAGAATGCACAGCTGGACGTGAAGCCAGAGCCTTGGCCTGGCCCCCCGGGGCAGACGTGTCCACACAGGCACAGTGTTTAGTGAGCTGTCTGCCAGCGGACGCTGACCAGCTGATTAGACGTGACCCGGGGCTGGAGGCCTGCCCTAAGCTGGAGCCCATCCTCTGCTGGCCGCCGGGACTCAGGCAAGTTGCTGCTTCTCCCTGGCCCTCGGCTTCACACCTGCCCAGTAGGGAGGCCTGATTTACAGCAGTGGTCCCCCACTTGGAATCACCCAGAGGGCTGTAAAAACACAGGTTTCTGGGCCCCACCCCCGGAGTATCTGATTCAGAGGGTCTGAAGTGAGGCCAGGAATCTGTGATTCTAACAAGAGCCCAGGGGATGCTGATGCTGCAGGTCTGGGGTCCATCCTCTGAGAACAGCTGATCTAGATCTAGAGGTTCATTCAGCTTCTCAGGTCCTAGGATTCTTGTTTTCTAAAATTTCCAAGCATTTCCACGCAGTCACTAAACATGAGCTGTAAAGGGGTATAATGGCAAAATGTCCGTGGTACCCCAGAGAATAAAAGGATAGGCATCAAGGATCCCTTTTTTAAAAATAGAAAGTTAACAGTAAGTGTATATTTGTTTTCTGAAAAAGTATTTATATGTAAAATCTATTAATAGATCTTTGTACTCTCTATATTTATGTATCTTTTAAAAACTTAAATAGGCTCAAATATTAATAGTGCTTAAGAGATGGAAATACAGCTGAGTGTTATTTCCCTCTGTTTTCTCATTTGCACTTCCAAGTTTTATGCGTAATATAGACACGCAGATAGATTTCACATTACCTCTGTAATCAGAGGTATAGACACGCAGATAGATTTCACATTACCTCTGTAATCAGAGGTAGAGACACGCAGATAGATTTCACATTACCTCTGTAATCAGAGGTAGAGACACGCAGATAGATTTCACATTACCTCTGTAATCAGAGGTATAGACACGCAGATAGATTTCACATTACCTCTGTAATCAGAGGTATAGACACGCAGATAGATTTCACATTACCTCTGTAATCAGAAAAAATATACATAAAACCTTTTTTTTTCCTTTCAAAAGCCACCCAAGGCAATTCCTCAGCTGAGAAGCTCCAATCTGACTTGCCTCACAAAGGGCACTGTTGTCCTGTCCTTGTGAAAACTGTGCATCTATCCAAAACGGTGGTGTGGCTGAGCCAACCCCCTCCCTGTTTCAGCACCACTCACTCCTGGGACGGGAGAGTTCAGATCCACTTACTGCCCTGCAGAGTCTAAACAAAATGGTCCCACGAAAGTGGCCCTGAGTAGATTCCTGAGGAGGATTCCTGAGGAGGCTCCCACCCTGGGCTCTGCAGGTACTCGCATCCAGAAATCGCACCTTCTAGGAAATCACATCGGGCTCCGCGATGCCCCCCAGCGCGCATGTGCAGCAGTGGGCGCTCCCACGCGATTCTCTTATTACTTTGAAATTAACTTAGGACGCGCACATTTTTACAAATATATCACGCACTGGGGATGGAGCACAATTTGCAGAAGAATCCCATTGTCTGTATGCCAATTGCAGCAGTCCCGGGACTTTTCTCCTGGAAATAGAACGACTCTCTCTCCTTGAAAACTGTTATAATGCATAAAAGCACAACTAGTTTTTCACAGAGAATATATCTAGATTATGGATCATCTTCCCTCTATATACCGCTTTCCAGATTTTTCAAAAATAATTTATAATAAACATTACTTTTATAAGCAGAAAAAAAGTGTACATCTAAACATATAAGCACCCATTGCTTATAGAAAACGCTTACCTGTCACTCTGGCCCTCAGAGGCTCCAGTTGTTCCTTCTTATTTCTGCCAAATATTATATCCATCGTGCAGGGCGATGAGCAACAGTGGTATTAACAGTGAACAGACGCTCCTCTGTGTTCAAGGCGACTGCTCCTGGCCCCTCCTTGCCTTCCCGTCCTGCTCTCCTTCAGCTTCCTTTACATCTCCTTCCCTTCTGATGCCACTCGTTTCTCCCTTTGCTTTCTGCTCTCCGCTCTCCGCTCTCCGCTTTCCGAGGGCCTGGGATCTCTTCGTGCACAAGGTGGCGGGAAGCTGCACTGGCGTTATTTATGTTTGGTCAACGGTCAATTCCCCAGCCATGTGTCCCAGTTAATCTTTAATTCTCTGATTGTGTCCTCAACCCTCCCTTTCCACTTCCACTTTTGGTTGAATCAAGAAAAGCGAGTTTCTTGCTGTGTTTAAGCTGACAGGATCCGGGGGGTGGGGTGGTGGGGGAGGGATAAATTGGAAGATTGGGATTGATGCATACACACTACTATATATAAAATAGATAACTAATAAGGACCTGCTGTAGAGCACATGGAACTCTACTCAATACTCTGTAATGGCCTATATGGGAAAAGAATCTAAAAAAGAGTGGATATTAGTATATGTGTAACTGATTCACTTTGCTGTACACCTGAAACTAACACAACACGGTAAATCAACTCTGCTCCAATGAAAATTTTAAAAAAACAACAGGTGGGATCATTTAGCGGTGCATTCTGCTTAGGACGCCTGGATTAGGACAGCCCAGGGTGCGTCAATCACGCGAATCCCTACTGCGCAGCATGGGAACTCAGACTGCCAGAGAGGGAAAGTATTGTTTTGTTTTGTTTTGTTGTGAATAAAGGTCCCTGAGCTTCCTCCCCACCCTCCCCACCACTCAGAAAGAAAAAAAATCACATGTAAAGAGCAACTTAATTATACTTCATTTTTTGGAGAAGTAAACATAAAATGTTTCATGTACCCATTTAAACAATAAATTCAGGGAATCAAAAACTCTACTCAGGAACTACAAGGAATAGTAAAAAAACAAACTTCAGCTCCAACTTTCTGGCCCATCAAGAGGGAGATAGTATGCCTGTATTTGATTTTAAGGTTCCCCTACATTCATGAATCTCGAGGTGATGCCATTGCCTAAAATCCACATTCAACTTGCTATGAATGTTGGGTGATGAGTTACTGGCCTCACCTTTGCTCATGCTGCTTTAAGAAAGAACCAGCTGTTCCCTCTCTGGGTGGAGTGAGAAAAGCTGGCCTTTATGCAGCCAGCTGGGTCTAGTAGTATCAGGGCTGGGCCCAGACTGTTCCAGGATCACAGAGCTCAGTCCTGAGAGCAGCGTGGCCTGGCTTTGCTCCACCCTGGCTGCACATTCCAATCACCTGGTGGGGGCTTTAGCAAAGCCCGTGCCGGGCCCCACTCCAGACCCACCCATTCAGAGTCTCTGAAGGTGCAGCCCAGCCCTCAGTAGTCTTAAAACTTCTCCAGAGTACTCTACTTTGCACAGCAGGCCCTGGTTAAGAAGCCCTGGTCCAGGGGAAGATGCTACATGTTTGCGTTAATACCAGATTCACGTTCCTCCCTTTTCTGTGTCTGGGGTATGTTACTTACCCTCTTTGAGCCTCCATTTCCTTATCTGTAAAACAGAGGTATAACAATATTAAAATCTCAAGGTTATTCAAAGTCAAGGGTCTAGCAAAAGCCCTCGTCCCCGAACAGTTAATGTTGGCCTTTCTTCCCTGCTGTCTCTGAAGGCACTTCCCTTTGATCCACATTTTCCATTCAGTCCCACAATAGCTTGCCAGTTTATTCTGCTGTCTGGTGTAAACACGTGTAACCATGTCAGGGTTATTTATTCCTAGGTTGTGAACGCTGAGTCCTTGTGAGGATTAAAGGAGAATGTCTGGCATACGTTGAGTGCTTGGGAAAAAATTACACTACCAAGCGCGGCATCTCTGGTGCAGAAGAAAAGAGCTCAGGGCTTATGGGCATCAGAAGGCCTGGGCTGGAATCTCAGCCCCTAGGATCTAAAACTGTGATTTGTCACATGACTCCTCTGAACCTCACTTTATTCTGCAAAACAGGTTGCGATGCCCTGTCACAGGGTTTGTTGAGAGGATTAGACTGAAGTTATATAAGTGAAAACATGATCGTATTCTCCTTTCTTGTCCATTTTGTGTATTCAGAAGAGAAGTGGTCCCCATCCATCAAGAATATTCTCTGAGTCAAGTACTTGGTGAAGCCCTCTGCATGTACTGGCTCGCTCTGGCCTTATATAATTCTATGAGATGCGTGTTCTTAGCAGTGTTTTGGGGATGAGAAAACTCAGGGAAGACAACCAGGTTGCCTTAGATCACACAGCTGCTCAGAGATCGAATTAGGAAGCAAAGCCAGGAAGTCTGACTTCGAAATATATACTCTGACAATTCCACACAGCTCCAGCGCATGAGGGATGTTTGCTAGGTTTCTACCGAGTGAAGTGAAGGGTGGAGGACGAAGAAGGCCAGTCTTGGGTTGATATGATTGCCTTGTTATGGAATACTGAGCAAGCTCCCTTCATTCAGGTCCCAGCTACTCCTCAGGGACAATGTTATGGTGAAACAAAGGACTTTTTCACGATGGTGATAATAACTTGATCATAACAATAGAGATCTATATATTTTCTAGGGCTGCCATAACAAAGTAGCACAGAAAGTAATTTTCCCAGTTCCAGAGGCTGGGAAGTCCATAATACAGGTGTCGGCAGGGTTGGTTTCTTCTGAGACGTCTCCTTAACTTGTAGGCAGTCTTCTCACTGTGTCCTTACATGGTCCTCCCTCTGGATATGTACAGCCCTGGTGTCTCTGTGTGTCCACTTTTCCTCTTATAAGGATACCAGTCAGTTTGGATGAGGGCCCACCCTAATGGCCTCACTTTAACTTAATCACCTCTTTAAAGGCTCCACCTCCAATGCTGTCACATTCTCAGGTACAGGGGTTAGGACTTCAACATATGAATTTGGGGGTGAACACAGTTCAGCCCATAACAATATCATGACAGCACAATGAGTTAATGCAAGATACTTTGGCTGAAAGTAACAGAATATCTGCTGACACACCAAAGATGTGCATTTATCTCAGACATCAAGTCACCTAGGGCTCCTGGCAGGCTCAGAAGCTCATTTGGGTCATCTCACCAGGCTCCCACCTCCCACACTGTCATCCTCAGAGGGTTGGTTTCTCATTCTTGGGCTTATTCAGTTTTGCTTATGAATGACTGCCTTCCCTCCAGGAATCATGTCCTTGCACAATAACTACAAAAGTAAAGAGATAAGATGTGGACGAAGCAGGCATTTTCTTTTTCCAGCTTTCTCTCTTTTTGTGCTAGAGACAACTCTTTCCCATGATCCCCTGAGCAGATTTTTCTCTTAGTCTCATTGGCTGAACTGTGTCACGTGACCCCCGCCCCCCAGGCCAATCCCTGGCAAGGAGGAACAGGAGTGCCCTGATTTCCTTAAACCCGTCATGAGTCACCCCTGCGGAACACGCTGCTACCTGAATCATGTCAAGATATCATTAGCAAGGAAAAACGAGGGAATGGCTGGGGATAGGCAACTCACAGTGTCGTCTGCAGGCAGTACAACGTTCATGCATCCTCACATTCATTCACGCAACATATATTTCCTCAGCACCTACTATGTGCTGGAAATACAGCTGTGAGCAAAACAGGAAAACAATCCTGTTCGTTCTCAGAAATTATACCAACTACATGCCAAATTCTGAGGATATAGTAGTGATTAATGAGAGTCAGTCCCTGCCTTCTCGGGCTCTCATGATGTTCCTTCTGTTTGGGGGATGAGTCTGCATATCCCCAAAATATGCATTTCCCAAGGCAGTTAGAGGCAGTGCAGGGGTTCACAGGACTGCCTTCATGTCAAACCTCCATCCTCCCTCTTTATCAACAAAAATAACAAGCAGCAGCTGTTCTTTCCCAGGAAGCTCTGGCATCGCTCTGGAACCATGAAAGCCTGACCCCTGCTTTCCATGTCTTTGCTAATATGGGAAGAGTGGGACAAGGGATTTGTCGCCAGTAGGAGCTGTCTCCTGGCCTGTCCTCCGGCCTCTGATAAACACCATTCACTGGATGCTTGACACATGCCAAGTAGCATGCTAAGTGTCTTATTAGCTGTCTTTTAGTTCATCTCTGTGAGGGAGTCATTAGCAATCTTATTTTTACAGCCTCAGAGACGTGGAGGAATTTGATCAAAGTCAACAGCTAGTCAGCGCATGTTCTCCCCCACTAGCCAGTAATGCTGCCCACATTTTGAAGCTGATATTTGAGAACAGAGGAGATATGGGAGCAAAAGTAGGTGTTCCACAATTTCTAAAATGCATGTGCTGCCTTAAAATGGGACGAGAACTGGCCAGTGCATAAGAAAACAGGGCAATGGTAGTGTGAAGGGAAGTAGCTCTTCATACACAAGAGTTTGGGTCATTGTTTGCTGTGTAACACACCACTCTAGGACGTAGTGTCTTCAACATACAGACGGCCAAAAAGCACATGAAAAGATGCTTAACATCACTAATTATTAGAGAAATGCAAATCAAAACTACAATGAGGTACCACCTCACACCGGTCAGAATGGCCATCATCGAAAAGTCTACAAACAATAAATGCTGGAGGGGGTGTGGAGAAGAGGAACCCTCCTACACTGCTGGTGGGAATGTAATTTGGTGCAGCCACTATGGAGAACAGTATGGAGGTTCCTTAAAAAAATGAAAATAGAGCTACCATATGATCCAGCAATCCCACTCCTGGGCATATATATCTGGAGAAAACCATAATTCAAAAAGATGCTTGCACCCCAATGTTCATTGCAGCACTATTCACCATAGCCATGACATGGAAGCAACCTAAATATCCATCAACAGAGGAGTGGATAAAGAAGATGTGATACATATATACAATGGAATATTACTCAGCCATAAAAAGAATGAAACAATGCTATTTGCAGCAACATGGATGGACCCAGAGATTATCACACTCAGTGAGGTAAGTCAGACAAAGACAAGTATCATGTGATATCACTTATCTGTGGAATCTAAAAAAACGATACAAATGAACTTATTTACAGAACAGAAATAGACTCACAGACTTAGAAAACAAAGTTATGGTTACCGAAGGGGAAAGATGGGAGGGAGGGATAAATTAGGGATTTGGGATTAACATATATACACTACTATATATAAAATAGATAATCACAAGGACCTACTGTATAGCACAGGAAACTCTATTCAATATTCTGTAACAACCTATATGGGAAAAGAATCTGAAAAAGAATGGATGTGTGTGTGTGTAATTGAACCAGTTTGCTGTATGCCTGTAGCTAGCACAACATTGTGAAACAACTATACCCCAATATAAAATAAAAATTAAATTAAAAAAACACTATTAAACGAAAAAAAAGACTTAGTGGCTTCAAACAACAAGCATTTGATCACGTCTGTGGGCTCTGTGGGCTCAGCTCTGTGGGTTGACAGTGCTCTGTGGGCCAGTTCTTCTGCTTTCACAGTGTGGGTTCCTGGTGTGGCTGTGAGTCAGCTGGCAGTTGACCGGGACACTAGGAGGGCTGGGCTTGGGCCTCTCTCCTTCCCCATGTGGTTTCAGGGCCTTCCTTGACCCTCTCCCTGAGATCTCTCTAACAGGATAGCCAGACTTCTTCCATGGCAGCAAAAGCCCCCAAAAGTGAGTATTTCAAGAGAGAGGAAGCAGAAGCTGCCAGTCTCCTTTAAGGCTGAACCTAGGACTGGCATAGTTTCATTTCCCCTGACTGGTTAGCATGAATCACGGGGCAAGGAGGGGCCACACCAGGGTGTGAATATGGGCCTGGGCTGTGTGGTCCCTTGGGGCCACCTCTGGAGACTCGCAACCTCAACAGACCCATTTCCATTAGAGCCTCAGCTCTTCCACCTGCTAAGCTGAGTGCTGAGCTATCGGCTTAAATCTCAGAACCTCAGTCTCCTGATCTCTAAAATAGGAATGATAATATCTGCCTCACAGGTGGCTGCAAAGTTTAAATTAAACATTGTAAGCTCTAATCGTGTATGTCATGGTGTTTAGAATATAGTAGGAGCTCGTAGCGTGCTCCTTTCCTATCGTTTCTTGGAAAAGAGAGAAAACTTGGAAAGGTCAGCCAGTATGATAAGCAGAAACATTAATTTTTTGGAGCAGCTACAATGTATACAACTCTGGTCTGTCCCTGGAAGGAAAGTAGACCCTCATGACCCAGTACAGGATTTTAAGTTTCTTCTAGTTTGGCTGTGAAGACACGTACACAGTAAGTAATAGCTAGTTCCCTATTATACCTGCTCTAGAAGAGGCACAGATAAGTATCGTGGGAGTTCTGAGGAGGGAAATCTTGCTCAGGCTGGGGAGGGTTAAGAAAGAAGGCTTCCTGGAGGACGAGGTGCACAGCTGAGCCCTTGAGGGTGGGAAGCAGTTAGACGGGCAAAGAGGAGGCAGGTGGGAGGGCCAGAGTGGGCAATGGCGTGGAGCTGGACAATTCTAGCAGGCAGACAGGGAGGAAGCAGAGCCGGCGCTACCAGGGACTTAGTGAGAGATAATGACAATTATAGGTGCCATTTATTGAGAGCTTCCTAGGTGCTGGGCTTTCCTTGTAAGCCTTTTGTACACATGATCATGTACTCCTCACAGTCACCCTAAGTACAGGTGTTTAGCCCCATTTTACAGACAAGGAGAGTGAGGCACAGAGGAGCTAAGTAACTTGCCCAACACCGCAGAGCTAGGCTTCGAACCCAGGCAGCCTAGCTCCAGAGCTGTACTTGCAACCACTGTTCATTTCCACTGCCTCCGGGATGGAGGTAGTGGAAGTGAACAGTGCACAGTCCGATCCCCGTTTAGGGATTAGATTGTGCCAGATTGTAAGAACTTGGGCTGTACGCTGTAGGCAATGGTGTCCTAAGTCAAGAGGCCAGGTCCAGGAAGGCATTTCTGCGGGAATTTTGCTGTGCTGTCCAACACAGTAGCTGCTAGTAGCATGTGGCTATTTAAACTTAAATATAAGTTAATTGCAATGAAATTAAATTCCTTATCCACACTAGCCACATTTCAAGGGCTCTGTAGACACATGTGGCTGGTGGCTGCCATCTTGGCCAGTGCAAATCATTGTGGAAAGTTCTATTGACAGTGCTGAGTTAGCAGGAGAGCTGCCAAGATGGCATTTGTATGTGACTCAGGTGGACAGAAGCAGTTATGACTGCACGACAAGCCAGTTTAGAGAGTATAATTGTCAGAGAAGCCCATGGTTGTCAATGGTAAAAATGTGAATAGCTCACACATTCATTCATTCATTCAGCTGTTCCACAAATACGGAGGGCCACCCGTCCGGGGTGCGGTTGCAGTGGCACAGAAGAGGTGACAAAGAGGCATGAGTGAGAAATCCTCCAGGGTATGGAGAGGGGTTTTCCAGAAGGCTTCCTGAAAGGGGCAATGCCAAGCCAAGAGCTGAAGGATGGCTGGGAGTTGGCCACGAGGAGAAGCTGAGAGGAGCGATCCAAAAGGGCCACAGCTTGTGCGAAGACTCAGAGGCATCCCACAGCGTGGCCACACCACCTCATTCCAGATTTTTGAAGGGGTGGGTGTGCAGGAGAGGAGAGCAGGGGCCAGGGGAAATGGCAGGCAGGAGAGAGAGGGGTGGGGGAAGAGGAAAATCATTCAGACTTGAGGCACTGGAGGCTGGGTTGCTGAGAGGGAAGCAGGAAGAAGGCTGGGGTTCGAGGAGGCGGTAACTGGCAGGGCCCTTCTCTGAGTTGGGTTGAGTAACCCCTGGGCTTCCCCCCAAGTCACACACATTTGCACAAGTTGGCTATGTTGCTTCCAGCAGTGATCCAGAGACTGTGGAAGAGGACTCCCTTCCAGAGGGTGGAAGGCATGGTACAGAACCACACACAGTCTGCCCTCTGGAGGATCTGAGACGCTCTCAGCATGAGCAGGAAGGCTTGGCCTCCTCCCTTGGGGAGGGAGAAGGATGGGGGTTCCCAGATGTGTGCCCCTGCTCTGTAGTTTGTGTATCTTCTTATCGTGACACAGACCCAGCAGACACTATTACTATCCCCTCCTTATGGAGGAAGCAACGGAAGCTTTGGAGGTGGTACTCCGGACCAGAAATCACACAACACGTGGCTGGGGTGGGAGATTGAACGTGGAATCCTCTTACCTTGTAATTTGGGGAAGGATGCAGGAAGAGGAGGCTACCTTCCCCAAGGCCACTTTTTCCATGGAATGTGCTGCGTCCATAAAGCAGCCTCGAGATGAAGATGTAAAGCTGAATTCAAAAGGAAAAGTTTTTTGTGCTATAAAAACAGCAGGCTTATTTTGCAATTCTGTATCTTCTACTAACAAAGTTGTAGCCTAAAGTGAGTTAATATTTCCCTTTTGGAGATAATGTTATCATATCTAAATTACTTTGCGGTTTTCCCATTAAGTTAGCTTTTAAATGGTGCCTCTAATTAGCCGGTGTGATAAGCTGAGCAGGATAATGTGGAAATCTCGGATAGCAGCGTTCAAGGTAACAGGAATAGTGCCAGCAAAGGTGGCAGCTGCCTCCCCGAGGGACAAGCGTTGGTGGTGAGCTCCAGAACACAGGATGTAGGGAGTGGTGGGAGAGCCTCCCCAAGACTCCCGGAGTGAACACTTCACCACTAAACAAAGACCATAAATTATGCCATTAACATTTAACAGGATTCATAATTTCCTCAAAGTTCTACTAAACAGCAGGGACTGGTGTCGTATAGGGTATTTCAGACAGAAAAATGGGAAATCATAGCTCCTGACCTCAATGAGCTCAGAGTCTAACAAGGGAGAAAGGAATGCAAATAATAATAATAATCATGCAGAGGTGCTGTGTATTATCATTTATATAATACTAATTTGCCACACTTGGGAGAATTGACAAGACTGAAATACAGCGGACATCACTGGTAGAAAAAGAAGTGCTTTCTAACGCCTGAGCTGGAACAGTTCAATTTTCCACCATGTACTTCAGGGCCCAGTCAGTGAAGCTGGACAAAAATTCAATTTAAATAATAACCACTGAGTTATAGTCTGGACGATGTCCTGACATTTCTACCTCCTAAATAATCTTTCACACTGCACCTCTCACCTCCAGTCCCCCAGCTGCTATCCTCACTATTTTTGACCTCTTAGGAGCAGCCTCCTCATGGGCTCCAGTCCCACCCCTTCCAATCTACCTTCCCTGCTGCCACCAGGTGACCTGGCTGAAATTCAAAGCTGACCACATCATTCTCCTATTTAAAATCCAGAGATTAGCACAGTGCCCGGCACATAGTAGGTCTCAAGAGATACTGAATGAATGAATGGCACATGGCCTCATTGGGCTATATCGTCATTGTATTAGTTTGCTAGGGCTGCCATGACAAAGTGCCACAAACTTGGTGGCTTAAACGACAGAAGTTTATTCTCTCATGGTTTTAGAGGCCAGGCGTCTGAAGCCAAGGTGACAGTAGAGCCATGATCCTTCTGAAGTCTTGAGGGCAGGCTCCTCCAGCTTCCGGTACTGCTAACAATCTGTGATGTCCCTTAACTTGCAGCTACATCACTTCAACCTCTGCCTCGGTTGTCATATGGCCTTCTTGCCTCTGTTTCTGTGTGTCTCTCTGTTCAGATCTCCCTCTTCTTATAAGGACACCAGTCATTGCCTTAGGGCTCCCCTTAGCCAGCATGACCTCTTCTTAACTTGACCACATCTTCAAAGGCCTTGTTTCCAAATAAGGTCACATTCACAGGTACCAAGGGTTAGAATTTCAATTTCAATCCTTTTGGAAGTTACAGCTGAACCCACAATAGTCATTAAGCAAAACAACTCAAAAGTGGAAACTACAAAGGCTGTAAGTGGATTTAGTTTTACACCTAAGTTCTTGTAGTTTCTCTCTTGTTCTCTTTTATATATACATATATATATTTTTTTCCTTCTTCTCTTTTTTAAGGCTGAAAACTTAAGCAATGCTAAAATGGAAGTGGATTAAACTGTTACAAGGGCATGGATTAAGCGGCAATTAACTCGTGCAGAGGCTGAGAAGGCTTCAGAGAAACGGTTTATAGTTGAATTATTCTTGAAAAAGCGTGTAAGTGTGCAAGCGTATGAGAGAAGACATTCTCAGTGGAGAAACAGCATGTGCAAACGTGTGGAGGTGTGGCCTGCCGTGGCAGACCACCCAGGGGGGATAATGTAGGGTTTTGTGGTTTATGTTGGTCCTGGGGTGCTGACACGCAATAGGGACTTAACATTCTGGGGCCTCTCCCTGAGAACCCCTTTCTACCAGCTTTTCCCCCACCCCTACCTCCACCTCACCCCTCTCTTCCTGACTAGTCCTTTAAGATCCAGGTTACCAGGCACCCTATAGAAGCAAACAACAAGGCATACATGAGCAAACTTGGAAGCCTCACCTACATACATGTTTAAAAAACCAAGAGAACACAACCCACCATTCCAGTGACTCAGGTCGTTATCAGTTGCTCAGAGCTGGTCCCCAAGTATAGAACTGAAACCACGAGAAGAGTGTGCAGGGCACGACTCAGCTGTGTGAGTGTGTTTCCCAGAATTTGATCTGGCAGCCTGAGCCTTCAAGTGGGATCAGCAAAATGAACAACAGAGAGATTGTTAATTTGGTTTAAACAGCGTTGAGTCCATAGCAAGAGTCACAAAGATGTTCACGCCCTGTGGGCAGGCATCCCAGTCCCAAGGATAGACTTGTCTGAGCTTGGCTTTCCCAGAAGCAGACCCAAAGACAAACATTCCAGTGCAAATGGTTTATTTGGGTGGTGAACCCAGGGGTGGAGCAGTGAAACAGGGAGGGTAGACATTAACAGTACATTATCAAGGTCATTACCATCTCAGGAAACTGAGGCTCAGTCTGGTGGGAGACTCTGCAGATGGTGTGAACATGCCTTAGAGTAATCTTTAGAGAGCCGGGGGATTGACTGACCCAGCAACTTTGGTCAATAGGGTGAGAGGCTCAAACTTCCAGGCATTTCCATTCTGTTCCTTGTGTGCAGAGGGAGGCAAAGAGCCATGGGTGCATTTAGAAGCCTTACATGGTAAGTGTAGGGTAAGGTGGGGCATTGACAGTGTCTGCTATAACCCTCAAGAGATAACTCAGCCCAGGCTACAGGGTAAGTGCAAGAAGATGTTCATAGAAGTGTTGACTAGGATAGCAAAAGTGAACAGATCACAGACAGGTGACGAAAACCACACAGAACATCTAGCAAAATGGGAATGGTGTAATCAATGTCCATTCATTGAAAGGAGACCCAGCCACCACCATGCGGATTTCAACGCCCTTTAGCAACATGGAAAAGGCTTACTATCTAATGCTAAGTGGGAAATGCAGGATGTAATATGAGCTAGTTATACGTACACTACGATTGTGCCTGGGTAAACATCTGTCTTCAAGAAAAGAAGCATTTGAAGAAACCACAAAGAAACGAGAATGTATTAGGGTGATGGGACCACGCAAATTCTTTTGTCATGTTGTCTTTTTGATCGAATGGAAGGCAAATTTCAATATGACTAACAAAAACACCAGTTAATATAGCATTGCACCCCCTCCCAAATAAGCTGCTTGCACTTAAATTCTTGTCTAGGCTTCTGAGGGGACCGAAACTAAAATGGGTCTATTCCCAGGACTGGGATGTCTGGGCCACAGGGCGTGAATAGCCTTATGGTTCTTTTTATGAACTCAGTGCCCTATTTAAACCAAACTTGCTCTCTTTCTGCTTTCATTGGCTGATCCTGCAATGCAGGATTTGGAGGCTTAGGCAGCTGGATCGGATCCTTGGAATCAGGCTCACATGGGTCCAGCCATGTCCTGCTTCCTTTCTTCGCATACACAGAGGTTAAGGCACATTGGGAGCTGACATCACCAAGATGAATTCTGTGCCCAGGAGTCTGCAATTTATCAGAATATAAAGAATGTGGAAATGGAATTCAGCCTGCACATTTGTGTTCCTTATCGAATGTCTCCAAGCATGTTCCACGAGGGACATAAATTAAGCCTTTATCCAGGTGACACATTATCTCTGCGTGTGGCCTTCCACATAGTTTTCTAATGAAAGTCATTAGATGCTTGGCCCCTGGAGATAAGAGACAAGTTCTGCCCAGCCTGTGTTCCAGCCTGTGAGTCAGCGATGACATCAAATTCTACCCAGGGCTCTGCCTGGAAAGGCTACTCCAGGGTTCTTGGGAGGGCTTCTGGGAAAGGGAGGGGGGGTCAAGTGTCAGCCCCAGGGACCTGGGAAATGGGGCCAGGCTGGCAAGTGCTCATTGAGTCCTACTGTGTGCCAGCCAAGGGATAGACAGAGGTTAAGAGACATTATTCCTTCCCCCCAATAAATTCACAGAATAAAATAATCCAGATGTCCATCAACAGAAAAGAGAATAAGCAAAATGTGGTCTATCTGTACAATGGGATATTATTCCTCAATAAAAGGAATGAAGTACGGATACATGCTCCAATATGGATGAAACCTGAAAAAGTATGCTAGGCACAAAGGTACACATATTGCATGATTCCATTTGTATGAAATGTTCAGAACAATTAAGTCCATAGCAATAGAAAGTCATAGTTGCCAGGGGCTGGGGGAGAGAGGGGTGGAAGCAAAAAACAAAATAATGGTAACTCAGGTCAGAGCAAGCTAAAAGCTTAAAAACAGACATTAGACAGCTGTGTTCTCTAAAGCCTTTGGCCACCCTGCCACAAGAAATGGTTTATCTGACACCTTTTTTGAATATTCCAGAGTCCCACCACATTGCATGGCTCCCTTCTCCAATCTCAAATTATTAATTTCTTAGGAAGACCATCTCTTGTTATAATGGTACAAACCAGGCCCTTGGTGTCATCCCTATCACAACCCAAATGGCCTAATAGGTATTTTTCTAAAGAAAAAGCTCCCAAGAGGAACTCTGGCATTAGTAGTGAAAAAAATTTTTCCCACCACTAAAGTATCATAGTAATTTTGGCAAATTTAATTAATCTTGAAAGTTATCATGAACAACAAACATTACTCAGGAAGGCAAACAAAGAGCTAAGGTGGGGCTATATTAGTTCTGAAAAACCCTGAATTGGTACAGCCACTATGGAGAACAGTATGGAGGTTCCTTAAAAAACTACAAATAGAATTACCATATGACCCAGCAATCCCACTACTGGGCATATACCCTGAGAAAACCAAAATTCAAAAAGAGTCATGTACCACAATGTTCACTGCAGCTCTATTTACAATAGCCAGGAGATGGAAGCAACCTAG